GTTAGAGATAGAGATGGGGATAGGGAAAGCGATAGAAAGATAAAAAGAGATTGGTATAGATACGAATAGATTCTGCCCCAAGTATGTATCGCATAGAAATAGATAGATACAGGTAGATATAGATAGATTTACAAAGATACAGATACAACTACAGGTAAAGAGAGATAGATCGAGAGAGAGAGATAGATAGATAGATAGATAGATAGATAGATATATATATATATATATTCAAACAGATAGATACAGATAAGATAGATACATATAGATAGGAACAGATGTGGATATATAAATATATATAGAGACAGATTCAGAGAGAGATAGAAAGATATACCCAGGTTTAGATAGATATAGATAGAAATGTAAATGCAGATCTAGATTGCTCCACATGCAGGCAGACAGGCAGGGAGACAGACAGGCAGGCAGACAGAGACAAAGAGAGAGAGAGATAGATAGATAGATAGATAGAAAGATAGAAGATAGATCGATAGCAGGAAAGAAAGGTAGGTAGAAAGATAGGTAGTAGATAGGTAGATAGGTAGATAGGTAGATAGATAGATAGGTAGATAGATAGATAGTAGATATACACACAACAAGCAAGCTGGGATAGCTGGTGGTTTCATCTGGGATTATGTATTGCCATCCCTTCAGATCAGATTCCACGACTGCTTGCTGGCGAATAATGCGCCAAGAAAGCATCGCAACTGCAAAGAGTCTTATAAGTACTCCATCCACCCGGAGCAGCATCGTACTGATGTAAATATCTACTCTTAAGCATGGGTGACCTGTGGGAACGCGTGAGCTTTCCAGGCCCGCCTTGGTTAGCCCGCTCACAATGTTGGTGCCGGCGGCTGAGGTGGGGTGGTGGGCTAGCCTTTGCGGATTTCGGGGCATGGGGCCGAGGGAATGGCTACCCAAACAGTTTGCGCAAGAATGGCACCCAACCTCAGAACAAGTGCGTCCAAATTTGGGTGGTGTAGACTTGCAGTAAGTCGCTATGCAGTAGCACATTCTCTCGCAGTCGGCCATTTTACAACTGCAGTGATTTATGCGGGTTTTGGGAGCTCGCTATATGATTGAAGGAATAGTGTCCAAAACGCGTTCCGTTGCCAAGTAGCGGTGGAAGTCACCCTCTCGGCGGGCACACCCCTGAGCAACTTCCACGGATTAAAACAAACGCAACAGATGCCAGCGTGATTCCATGTATTGGCAGCCAAAACCAACTTGCTGCTTGTAGGCCAAATTTGAAATAAGTCAAATTCTAAGGTGTGTTGCCAGCGCAAGCCGCATATAGACCAATCCTAACCCACCCACACAACCCATAATACCCCACACCGCCAACTTCATCCCTGCAGAAACTTCCATCAATGCTGCCTGTGCAGGCGAATGCGCAACAGTGACAGGCAGGAACCCACCGCTATCCAGTGGGTAGGTGGGGGCTGGGGGGCTATGGCTATCCATATCCCTCAGTGGCAATTAACCTAAAGCGGGAGCGAAATAGGCACTAACAGGTAGCCGCATGACGGGCCATAATCTTACGTATAACAATACAGATCACATTTGAGCTGGCCATGGACATATACATGCAATAGCCTGGTGCAATGTGGATGTAGCACTTGGGCTGGAAAGACACATGTCTTCATTGGGATTGTCAACCAGCTGCATGGTTGCAACGGAACCATTGGTGATTTCCCAACACGTCGATCGTGAAGAACTTTCATGACTGCAATGTGGGAGTGGCCATCCAAGTACCTAGACCCAGGCTGTCTGCAAGCGTCCCGCGGAGCAAAGGCTTGCCGCAAGATCACATTGGCAATTGACATTTTGAGCCAATGTTCTTGTTGGGTCTGTTTGTTTGGATGCCAACATTGGGGGTAGTCATCATTATTAAGGGGATTTCCGAATATTGGATCTTCGCTCACCAAGCCCCAATTTTCTTGGGATAAGGGTTTCCTCCTTAGTGACACCGCCAAGAACCTTTCCACGTCTTCTTTCACCTTGTGGTGGCCGAGGGTGCATAGGCACCCCCGGCACCCCCCGAAGATTTTGGCGCGAGGCCCGAGCTCGCAAGGTGCCTTTAGCATATGCCCAATCCACAGTCAAAATATTTGGGGAGGCTCGGTGCGGCGATAAAGTTGTCGCCAATCAAGGCACCTGATTTTCATGCGTCCAAGTAATGTCATCACGGCAGAGGCAGGACCCACATATCCAGACATGCGAAGCAGCCCGCCATTGCTTCACATTTCAACCAAACTCCTAGAGGGTGCGTTCTATGTTTAAATATACAACTATATATATATATCTATATAAATAGACATCTTTTTTCATTAGCATGGCGCTCTATCACGTTTTGAGGGGGTCTTTTTAGAAGCTTCATATTAGCACATGGTCATGTATTGACATACCTTTGGAGTCAACTATCCCTTTAACTATGCCCTTGAAAGTGCAATCTTTGGAGCAAGTATCCCCTTAAAAATCCCCTCAAAATTGCAATCTTTGAAATAACTATCTCCTTAACTATCCCCTTAAAATCGCCATCTTTGGGGTCAACCATCCCCTTAACTATTCCCCTAAAAGTGCCATCTTCGGAGTCAACTATCCCCTTAACTATCTCCTTAAAAGTGCAATCTTTGGAGCAACTATCCCCTTAGTGAAGGGGATAGTTAAGGGGATCTTTTTCGGTTTCTGCAAGCTAATATGGAACTATCCCCTCAACTTTTCCCTTAGCTATCCCCTTAACTATCCGCTTAATTATGTCCTCAATAAGGAGACACAATTCAATGCAATTTTGACGGAGAATTCCTAGGCATTTTGGAGGCATTTGTTTGCCCAGGGATAGTTGACCCCCTAACACGCAGACAATTGAGGGGATTGTAAGTGGATAATAAGGGGATAGTTAAGGGGATAGTAAGTGGATAATAAGGGGATAATTAAGGGAATAGTAAGGGGATAATGAGGGGATAGCTCAGGGGATAGTAAGGGATAATAGGGGGATAGTTAAGGGGATAGTAAGGGGATAATAGGAGATAGTTAAGGGGATAGTAAGGGGATAATAGGAGATAGTTAAGGGGATAGTAAGGGATAATTAGGCTTAAAGAAAACGTGTTAGAGCGCCATGCTAATATATGCATATTCATAGCAATCAGAGTAGTAGTGGCTACCATGGTTGTACCGCGTAAAGCCCAAACTGCACCACCCAGTCCATCATTAACACCCGGTCCATCAATAGGATTTGCGGCTCTAGATTCCAATTCCCATCGACGCGCTTGCCAGGGAACAACGGAAGCGGTTCGGTAGCCAAGGGAAAACAAGGGTGTGTGGAGGCAGCTCTGGGGTATGGTGATGTCTGAAATAAGGCGCGTGACCAGCTATTACTTTTAGATGAATCGATCTGGGGTACCTCGATGGGTCGTAGTCATGCCATTCCATTTCCTTATGACAGTTACTATGAATGACCCAAGCATGAGCCCAAGGCGAATAGATCCAATGCTATAAACAAGGGTTTGTAGGGGGGGGTCTTAAGTTAGGTGGGCATGCTATGTCAAGAGTAAGGCGTAACACAATAGGATTGAACAAAGTTTCATTGGGGATCGTGGCTAGGCGAAGGGATTTTGATCCCATGATGATGCTAATAAATTTTGATGATTTCAAGATTTTGTTTTTTTGGGAGCATGTCATAAAATGGGGTAGGAGCGTGCGTTGACATCTAGCTTGGAGCCATCACTCCCTTCAAAGCAGCGATGTGACCAGGGCTCCACCGGTGGGCAAGCTGATGCAGCGTAAATAAGGGTTTCTACCTAGGAAAATTAGCTCCTACTAGCTGAAGCCCGCTCTTGCTGTAGCAAGGGCTGGTTACCCAGTAAATGTTTACAATTGTCTAACATCCACCCCTTCAAACACATTTGGCCACAAATAAAGTTGAAACCACAACATGTTTCCGGCACCGCAGAATAATTGAAGGCGAATACAAAAGTATCATTTTGCGGCCCTGCATATAACCAAATTGAAAACGAAAACCAAAGTTCACCCCCCATTGCTGCTTAAGTATTGCCGAACAAATTGTTTAATTAAAACAGAATACATAATTTTTGGTGAGGTAGCAAAGTAATTTCGTTTCGTTTAAAGGGGATTTAGACAGGTAAGAATGCGCCCTAAATCCCCACAGAAAAGTTCAATGATTTTTCATTCATTCAGTTGTGTTTCTGAGGCAGTTCAAGGCTAATTACTTCCTTTGCGAGTTTTCGGTAAAACATGTGTCTAAAGAGGGGCTTATAAAGAAATCAGTGCATTCAGATCTTTGGACATTTAAGATTTCAGGACGTGGAGAACTTTTTCTGACCACAAAAATCAGGTGAAAAACACCCAAAAACGGTCGGCGTACTTTATTGTGGGCGGGGGTTGTTTTTTTCCGGGAGTTGACGTATTGTGGCGGGGACCAGCCATCGGATGGGAACATTAACTGCCACGCCCTCCCTTGCCCCTGGCGTCTTCCCGGGCGCGCGTGTCTTGGAAGCGGATGAACAGGGGCTCAATAACCCATGGAATTTCACAAGGTCATTGATTCGAAGGGCTATGTTTTGGCTGTGGACCTAACTGTTTCCACACATTTTTATAGGCCGAGGGATGGAGAGATGGACACCTGGAACCTTGAGAAATAAACCGGCGAAAAATGCATTTTTGTGGGGTTTCAAAAAGGCAAAAGGTTCAACGTTGACTTTGTTCCGGTGTCCTGTTAGGGCGGTAATAAGGGTTTGTAATGGTTGTGCCCAGACCGCGCTGGAGGTTCCGGTGCGATTTTTTGTCGAAATGACACGTGTGACCCCACCAAAGACCGGCAACTCCTTCACGTTTCCAATTTCCATTTTGAAACACCGGTTCCAATATATGTGTTTGTTTCCAGCCAAGAAATTGCCGTTATTTTGTTTTTTGTCGTGCCCAGATGGTTTTCACAGGGTTCAACGTTGTTGGTACTTATTGGTCAGCATTGTGTGCCACTCAGCGAGGTTGAGCAGCGGGGACATCATGACAATGGAAGGCAGGGACATGAAAAAAGTTTGCGGCGGCGAGAAACAAAATGTTTTCCCACATTTTTGTTGAATTTCAAAGATCTTATGTGTCGCATAATTTCATTGTGAATCAGTACTTCAAAGTGTTCAATTGATCTTGCGAAAGGCATGATGCAGAAGCACTTCCAGCATCGCATTCCCAAAGAAGGATGTGTAGAACCCCGCATCAATCTCACTTGGAGCCTCGTCAGCAATCAACAACAGTTGATTTTTTGAGTCTTTGGTTCCACCGTTCCACCACCTTGTGCTGGACATGTTCTGAACTGGTAATTCAGTTTATCTTTTGCTGGTGGATGCATTGGCAAGAACGGCAAGAACGTTTTTCTAAGGCGTTGGATTCGCAAACACTATCCAGAGTGTCCTGCATTCCGCGGTCGCCGGTGATGCCTGACAGCGATGGCACAGATGACAAAAAAATGCTGATTAGCGGCAAGTGAGCGAGTTGATGTACTGAGAATCTGTAAGATGCGTTTCTTGATTTTCATGGCTGTGGATCACCCTGGTACCCGTTTGTTCACGCCAAAATGGCTGGGATTCACGGACATCCCCCCAGTGAGCATGTTTGATCCATACATATCCAATGATCATTGCTTCATGTTGGTGATACCGTGATACCCTCTTTGGACGTTTAGATGGTTCTGGCCAAAATCGCTATCATTCTCAACTCAGGAAGCTAAAGGTGTGCCACTTTGGCCCCAAAGCAACAAGCATCGAATCATAGGGTTTGGAAAATAAAACTTACCCAGATCCCAGTTGATCCCAGAAGATTGAGGCAGGAAGAAACCCACTGGCCCACTTGCCTTTGTTCAAGATTCACGCACTCTAGTCCTTTGGGCTCGAAACATAGCAAACCAAAGACTTTCGAAGTGCCTGAGTTGCAGTCGAGGCAAAGATGAGCTCCTAACATTTCTAACATTTGAACACTTTAGAATTCATGGTGATGCTGTGATGCTTCCGCATTGCAGATCACCAGAGAAGTCCACCAAGCAGGGGGATTCGATGAGAAGAATTGCAGATGAGTTGGCAAAAAAACTACCCAGATAAGTCAAGATTTGCGGCTTGGATGTTGAGTGCAAAGACATGTCAAAGCAGTGACATGAATATCGGTGTACTTGATGTAGCGCAAGCTTAGTGAAATCTACTTTCTTGAGTTCTGAGGAACCCATGATGATGAACGCTGCAGTCGAGAATTTCAAGTCTGAGCTTTCCGATGCCTGCGCTGGGGCCCCAGAGCCGGGCCAGAGACTTTACTGAATTTTCCATGAGTTGTTCATTTGAAAATTTGTGTTATTTTGTGTTCATTTGGATTCTTCCGAAGCATCACTGACATCACTGACACTTGTTGTTCACATCGCAAGGCGCGCATCCTGGCAATTGCAGAGCAGGACTTCACAGACCCATCGTTTTTCCTTTTATTGTTAAATCTCATCACACATCTTATGACTGCGTCTCTGTGTGACGTCAACCTCTTGCTTGAAAATCAAACACCTCTCCCGCGCTGCTTACCTGTCTGGAACACTTTGTCCATCCTCTGCCTTCCACATTCGTTTCCACACTGATGCAGCTTTTTGCTCATACCCCATGAGAAGTTCTGTGTGCAATTATGCACGACTGTGTCCCTGATCCTCTCTTTTTGTGTTTTGTTTTCTCAAAAGTGGTGTTTTGTACACGTTGCAATCCTTGCCAGCTCATCATGGCCAGCTTATTGTTCTTGTCTGGTCCACTTTTAAATGGACTTTGCTTGTCTCAGCAGAGGAACTCACTCAACGTGAGCGCACAGTGGCACTTCGAGAGGCTCTGGCATGAAAGAAATTTGGAGCAATATGGAGCAATCTCATTCAGATGTTGCAAGATCATCTGGAAAGATCTGGAAAGATCATGAACAAATTGAAAGATCAGTGCTGCACAAATTGTCTGAAAGATCAGTGGAGCCCTTGAGGCGGATTTGGATCGCCGCGAGAAGATTCTGCAGGTTCGGAAGAACCCAGCCGAGTTGTCCTCGTAGACTTGGCAAATACTCGGCATTTTGCACAGGCCAAGGAGGAGGGTCATTTGTGCTGCACCCAGGGGACTCATGGATGTTTCATGGATGTTTCATGGATGTTTCATGGATGTTTCATGGATGTTTCATGGATGTTTCATGGATGTTTCATGGATGTTTCATGGATGTTTCATGGATGTTTCATGGATGTTTCATGATGCTTCACAACGTCTCTTGTTTCTTGGGTGTTTTGCAGGTGGCGGTTTCAAAATTTGGTAGGTCCTGTCATGTCCTGTCCGGGCCCGAAGCCGGAGTGAGGTTGCCGATGACCCCGACACCGGCACGAGCTGGTGCTCGCTTCTCGCCGTACGAACCCAAGGAAAGTCAGGAGACTTCAGGAGACTTCAGGAGACTTCAGGAGACTTCAGGAGACTTCAGGAGACTTCAGGAGACTTCAGGAGACTTCAGGAGACTTCAGGAGACTTCAGGAGACTTCAGGAGACTTCAGGAGACTTCGGCTTCATTTTATGACGAAAGAAAAGGAATGAAAAGGGTAACATTGAATTTACATGAATTTACGATGAGTTACAGTCTGTTATCCACATCGAAGCTCTGCAATCGGACTCTTGGAGCGTGCAGATTGTTTCAATTGTTTCAATTGTTTCAAGCTTCGAGAACTTCGAGCTGTTTAGACCCAACCCAGGCGCTTGCAGCTCCAAGCCACAAGTGAAGAGGTGAAGTCAGATTATGGGTCTGCAATCTCAGCCTGTAGCCCGACCTAAGGCCCTAAGGATAATAAAATATAATAAATTTATTAAATGATAATAAGTTAATAAGATATTCTATTTAAGCATCTATTTGCATCGAGAGGCATGAGTAGAGTATGGTAAGAGAGGCTTCAAGGAATCGGAGTAGACCACACCTAAGAACAAAAAGTGAAACGACAAGAAAAACTCCAAAATGGAGATATGATGGAATCAAGAAAACATTTTCCACCCTCTTCCAACAGGATCAGTGTGAACTGAAGACTGACTCTGTGTCCTTGGACAACAAGTTGGTACTGTTGGTTATTAGAACATAGTGTACCGACAAGACAGACTTGCTGTCATTTCTTGAGGCTTTCACCAGTGCTCTTCTCATCCTCTAAGTCAGGACACGAGGTGTGGAAAAACGGGGGCTGTGCCAACGGTGCTAATGGCATCTAATGGCATCTAATGGCATCTAATGGCATCTAATGGTATCTAATGGCATCTAATGGCATCTAATGGCATCTAATGGCAAGATGGCCAAAATAACCATTCCCGTTTCAGTAAATTTGGGACCTGAACTGTTTGCCTACCAGAAGTTTTCAGGAAGCAGAGGAGATATTTGCAGTTTTTCTTTTGAAGAAATGCACACTTGTTGGAAAAGGCTCCAACAAAATTTCACTCATTTGACATTTCTTTCTCCTTTGGTATTGCAACGTTTTCATATCTTCTGGACTTGAAATGCTCACAGGTGGAGTCTTTCTGCATTCCGTCGCCCTCTGCAGGACTCTCAATTTTGTATTGGGGTGGATAGATTTGTGCAGCTGCAGGAGCAAAACGAATCACAAAGCGCTTTTGAGAAGCAATGCAAATCCGTGTTTGTGCCAAGTCCAAGGTGCCTGAGCCTGATTTGGATGCCGTTGAGGCTGAGAAGCAACACATATTGGCTTCTGAGACATGTCTTCAGCAGTTAAATGTTCACCGTGAAACAAACACTTCAGTCTTTCCTAGATATGTAGTGGTGGAGTGGATTGATGCTGTTTACAGGTTGGCAGCTGCCATCGTTTGAAGGCCGGGGAACTGAGAATTAGACTCAGACAGCTCAGAGAATGGCCGGACAGGTGCGCAAGTTGTGCACAAGGCACTTCCAAAGTCTTCCTGCTCCGTTCCAGAAACGCAGGCCATTTTTGAGAATCGCAACAACGAAACGCGAAATGCAACGGCACGCAGGACCCGTAGCGAAACTGCGGCATGGAAACTGTGTTTGACGACCTGATAGTCAAATCTGAGCTTCATGAGTGACGTGCCAAGTTTTTGCACGAGCTAAATTGCAGCTTTTGTTGGTCTTGAATGAAGAAACATGGATAACTATGGAGAACAGTTAGCATCCACTCCGCTGCAAGCAGACTTCTCTCATTCATCACCCCATGCAATACTTGTTTATCATTCTTTATTACACGTTTTGCTTCCTGTGCTTCTCAGTCAGTATTGTCAATATTGTCACACCATGTAGGATAGCAGCGCATACTAGGCTTATCTAGGCTTAGTCGATCATGATCAGAGTGCCATTATGTGCCATTGCTGCATTGTGGCACTCATGGCACTCCCTTCCCAGCGTTTCGAATTGCCTGGTTGAGTCCGAGTAGATCCGAGTAGATGCTTCTTTGATCGGAGTTTCAGCCAGTAAAGGACTGGTGGCCCGAGCCAGAACATTGCAGCTACAGCTTCCGCATTGCAGGTGGCAACACGAGAAGTGCTAAGATCACATTCTTTGCCATAGAACTACCAGAGACTTCAAGAGAAAGAACAAACATCCGTGTTTGGTCTCAGAGTTGAAATGGCACGACTTTCTTTTACCACAGCTTTTCAATGTCAATAGGGGGAGTGGGTTGGCAAAGTGGACTATGTTGCTGTGCTGCTTATACAAAATCTCGGGTTTTGGCAGGCTGCAGTCGCTGGGAACAATTCCGAGGCCCCTGTGCTGCCAAGATCCCTTGCGTAGCCAGGTAACAGACACTCCTGAAGAGCATAGACGGTTCTCGGAGTCTGTTTTGATGCTTTGATCCATGCAGGATTTGGAACAGGTCGAGAGCGATTTGCTTCGCTCTGCAGCAGTTTTATGTCAAGATATGTCAAGCTTTCATTCTGTTTTTCATCTGATTTTTACCATGATTTTTCAATCCATCAGATTTTCGATTGAACCCCAGGGAAGGAAGCCACGCGTGACTCTCCAAGACCTGCTGCGACAGGATGAGGCCAGCGCCATGACCCGTGCTTCTCAACATGCATTCTCGACATGAAAATGTCGTTGGACATAGTTGGACACAGTTGGACTATCAATTTACGTAACTTATGCAACTTATGTAGCATGATGCAGTGTTTGAAGATATTTTACGTTTGGGTTGCACAGCTTTCAGCCATTTTCAGTCCAAGAATATTGTGTCAGGAGCGCCTTTCGGTTTGCTGAGCCAAGACCCCAGATTGCCCAGGAGCAGCTGAAGAGATTTTCCCAACTTCTCACAGTGCACCATAAACAGAGATTGAACGTCCGGTGGTTTAGCATTGACCTGTTCAGCCTGTTGGCCATTTTGTGGGACACCGGGATACCTCATTTTGGACAAACACCTGATATGTGGTGTAAAAGACTTTACGCCTCCAACTGTCACGAATACTGGCACCGTGGCACCTACTGTGCAAACTGTGAAAGTGTCAGCGAGAATCTAGGATTGACCGAACGAGTCTTTTGATCAACATTGAGCTTTGTGTACATTCTGCACTGTTTGCTAGGTTATTGTCAAGAAAGCAAGTGCTAATGAAACAGAAATTCGATTTGCACTCAGCCTTGATCTTCGATGATCGGTGGCAGATTTGACTAATTCAAGAGAGTTTTTTGGAGACGCACTTGCATGGTCATTGAGTTGATAAAAAAGAGCGAGCTCGTATCACTGTCAACCTTGGTGCATTGTGCAACTTCATCACAGCTTTTTGATCTTTGCAGGGCAAAATGAAATTCTCGCCACCTCGCAGGCATTTCGCTGCAACCACCAGGTACTAGCGACAGCAGTCGCAAAGACTGCTCAGCCCAGACCTTGAGGACTTGTTTGGCCGTAGCTTTGGTAAGAGGAAAAAGGAGCTTTACTGATTTTACTAGAAGTGAGTTTAGTCCAAACTTTTTAACCCAAACTTCAGCATTGCTTTGTGAAAATTTGTGAAGCATGTCACCAAACTTCAATCCCGTGGCAGCGCCATGGTTCCTCGACATTTGGGTAGATCTTGTTTCGCTTCATACGCTTCTTGGATTATTTGCCAGAGTAAGCAGATGCTTAAGCAGATGCTATGCAGATGCTTAATGACTCTTTTTCTAAACACTGGTGGTGACTGATGTGACTGGCGGACACTCTTTTTGGAGAAAACCATGTTTTCCAAACAGTTTTACTCAGGATGAGAGCAGATAGCTCATGATCCACAGGCACGGTGACAACAGTGCGATTTGGACAGTCAGGATGGACGAACACTATGAATGTACACATTGTATTTGTCGAGAAGCGACTTCTCGGCTTTTACTTTTTTTTTTACATAAATTTGTTATTTTTTGTGTCCCCAACTCTGAGGTGATGCAGGATGCCAGCTCAGTGACCTTGCTGCAGACAGCAATTGACGAAGCGTGTAGTCTCCGTGTTCTTTGGCTTATCGTACGTTCTTCTTTGATGCGTCTTTGTTTGCTTCGCTTGTCGAACGTCTTGTCTTGCACACAGGGAACCTACGTGCCATCTTCGGCTGCCTTCTCAAGGCGTCAAATTGCAGGACGAAAGTCCCCACGAAAGTGCAGTGACTGCCAGTGGCATTCCCAAATGCTCCGTCGAGGCCACGCGTGGCATTGGACGTCGATGAAGTGCTTTGTCGCACTGCCGAAGCCTTTTGCACCTGGCACTCTGGGCAGCCTGCGACTCTTACGGAGTCTAAAGCTGCAAATCGGAAGACTGAAACAAACAGATAGATTTCAAACATGTGTATATTAGATATATAATTGTATAATATTGTATACATATGTATGTATACATATAATTAGCAGCAGTCAGAACCTTGTTGATCTGTATTGAAGAGCTGCTAGGGGCGAATGTATGTAAAATCGGTAAAATATTGTAAAATCATAACACAGAATCCCATAGAATCACTGCAAATCTCAGCATCTTGACATATCTTGACTGTGCCGCTCCCTTTGCCAAGGAAAGTTTCCAACGATGCTATTCAACGGATTCATCTGCCTTGCGAGATCAATTCTTGTGCTCAGACTTCTCCATGATGGCTGAGCCTGTGTGACCTGGAGATTGTTATCAAAATTATCAAATATTTTTGAAGAGAATTCCCATTTTTGATATGTTTGTTGAATGAGCTGCCAACGTATTGGAAGTCCCTATAGAAATCATTTGGTCAGCGTGTCAAACCATCTCAAAGTATGTTCGCTCCGTGTCAAAGCTTCACTGAGTTTCACTCTGGCCGGGTCCAGGTTTGGGAGTCAAGAAGCACTACAGCAGCTCAAGACGGCAGGCTTCGAGGCCTGCAATGTTCAAACATGTGATCAAACATGTGATCAAACATGTGATCAAACATGTTCGGTTGTCAATTTGATTATCAAATTTGATTCAATTTGTTTCGTTTCTATTTCAAAAACACACTCACTCCTCTCGCTCTCCTCTCGCTCGTATTACTTCCTTTGCTTCATGTGTCCTTGATTGAACTTAATTCAATGTTGTGCTTTCTACTGTATATCTTTCTATGTGTCTTCATGGGCATTCTCATACTCTACGTGTCCGGACACACAAAACGTATCAAAGCATCACATCAGAAAATTTCAACAACATGTAAACACATAGAAAAAACATAAAAAACACATTTAAAAACATGTTCGCCCTTTTTTTGCCCTGTCTTTGCCCAGCTTCACGCGGTGACTTCGCGGCCTGGCAGCTGCAAGTCCAGCACAGAGCGATTCCTGGCGAGGTGTCACCTGGCGCGGAAGCCACGGAAGCCACGGAAGCCACGAAATCGCTACGGATGAACCAGGGATGAAATCTTCGTAAATCTTTTTCAAAGGCATCCAAAGGGCCTATGAAATTCTATCGACTCTAGCATAGCAGCAGCATGAAACATATGAAACGCCTAAGTCAAAAGTATTCGAAAGTGTGCATATTGTGAAACTTTTGAAGTGGGCTGAGTTCCGTAGCTTAGGTTTTCCAGCTTTGATCAGCGGTCTCCACTTTGCTTCTGTATCAGGAGCTGATGTAAAAAATCACCATGGAAACACAGCATTTTGGATATGTTTCCAGATGTTTCCAGATGTTTCCATAAGTCCGTTTTGAAAAGAGCCAAGGGAGTTTCCTGCGTGACTCATTATGAACAGTTCCATGGGTGTTTCATCTCCCCGCGTTTCACAGGACCTACAAAGGGGGAGCTCTGCAGACAGCTGGGTGTTGTGATACTGGTGGACGACCAGCTGCAGAACATTCTGGACGCAGTTTCGCATGGTCTCTTTGATGATTTGTTGGAGACGATTTTAGTTACATTGACTGTAGGATCTGTAGGGATGTGCATGTTGAGCTTCCGCACCAAGATCTACATCAAACATATTAAACTCCAACCGAAACAAGTCTTCGAACTCACTTATTTGCGCGACCGGTTCCCTCCCTTGACTTCAAGGTGTCCGATGTGTGGTGCTTGATCTTCAAGGGCACTACGCACCTTGGCACTTTGAGCCTCAAAGTGGCTCTAACTCTGGTTCAACAACATGAAACAAACATGAAACAAACCTACCATGTCCCGAAAGGCCGAAGACTGGCTGTGACTTGTGGATACTTTTGTTTTTGAAAAACAATACAATGCAATACTGCATTCACTGCATTCTGTCAACTCCGATCTCAACATAAAAGCCGTCTAGCATCGTCTAGCCACTTGTTTCCTCATATTCTTTGGGTATCTTTGGGTTGCCCTGGAAGGTTTGGAACCACAGCACCTCCTTGCCCAGTGGCGCTGTGCGACTCTACTCTTGGGCAGAAATCGCAAACTATGTGAGCCTTGGTTATCTCAAAATTCTCAAATCATCCCAAATCTTGAGCTGCTTCAGTGTTGACGAGATTTCAATATATTTCAATTATGAGTTTATATAGTTTATGAGATCAAAAATGATCAACATCCAATTCAAAACGACAGAGACTTACCAGAAGGTCAAAAAAACATCTTGTCTTCTCAGAGCCCAAGGTCTTAATCTTGTCGGGTCTGGTCGGGTCTGGTCGGGTTCTCGTAGCCTCACTGAGGATGAGCCAAGGCAACCCGATGCTTCAGACTCAGTGATCTCAGTGCACCATGTTTTCGAAAAAAACTCGTTGATTTTCTCCTTGTCCACTTCATGTCCACTTCCACGTTGATATACGTTGGGTGTGTTGGCGGATGAGTTTGTGAGCTTTTGAACTTTGTGAACCTCAGGGCTTCTGCGGCTTCCCATGCATCTCAGTTTGTTCCACGGACAGCGCAGTCCGAGAACCTTGGCTAATCGTGGAGATGAAACTTGCAATTTCTGGCAATCTTTTGAATTTCATGTCATTTTGTGCCATTTGAATTGAATTGACTTCATTTCTAGTTATTCATTTCTTACTTCTGGAACTTCTGGTTTTGATTTCAGTACTGTGCAGATACATGTGGCATGCGGCGTGGAACATTCCCACAGCGATCTGAGGCTCGGCCCCGTTCCAAGCTCTGCTCCCGAGAGTCGGCCAGGACACTCTCCGATCCTTGTTGCAAAGCAGACAGTGGACCTGGCGAAAGCATGCGAAAGCCATGAATTCAGAACTTTTCAGAACTCGATTTGTAAATCATATTGTAAATCAGGCCATATCACCAATCACGCACAATCACATAGAATGTCTGTCACGTATAATGTCACACATACAATGTCAATATATATATATACATATATATATGGTGATCGATCTAAAGGTCCTTGTAAGGAGTTTTAATTGCGAAAGCCGTGCATGTTATGTTGGAAATCCTCGCGAAAGTTTTTTTTCGAGTTCGCGAAAGTAAAATTTTATTTGGCGAAAGTTTCGCGAAAGTTGGGTATTATAATCATTATATGTAAAGGGCTGCCAACCCGCTGCCGCCCGGGGTCCGGCAGGAGAAGGGCACCAGAGAATGCGAGTAGCAGTAGCCAAGTTTCCAAAAGTGAGGCTTTGCTAGAGCCAAACACCAAGGCCCCTGGTCTTCGCTTTTCCTTCAGTGCACCCCCTGCTGATGGCCGGGGTCTGTGAATAGGGATAATTTCGCGAAAGTTCCGCGAAAGTTATGCGAAAGAGCGGGCGAAAGTCAAAGTGCATGTTGAAGGGGGTGGGCCAGTAAACTTTGCAACAAAAAGCTGTCCTGAGAAGGGATTCCGTGATGCTAGCTGCATGTTTAAAAGGCTACCAAGAAGTGATCCGTGATTCTCTGGCGTAATTTGGCAGGTGGTGAACGAATCTTCATAAGAGGTGTTGTTGGCCAACATGGGCCCCGCGAAAGATAAACATGGAGTTTGCGAAAGTTTCGCGAAAGTAAAATTTTTATTCGCGAAGAATGGCCGTTCCGGGATAAAGGAATTTTGATCAACAACCATATATATGTCTATATGGTATCATATAATCACGAAAGCTAGCTTGCTAGATGGAGTTGGATTTAGCAATGTTTGTTTGGGGGGCAGAACATCAAATGGTAGCTTGTTTCAGTTCAACTCAAAAGGTCGCACCACCGCGCCACATCTCAATACACATCTCTCCTTGCCCAAATAGCTTTCGTCCCCTTCCCTTTGGCCTCAAGCATCATATAATTAATGGAAGGTTTCGATTGTCTTGTCATGTCTTGTCATGTCTTGTCACTTCCAACAAGCCGGCAACTCAACCAGCCGAGGAACGGATACAGTGTGCCTAGCACGCTGCCGTAAGATCCTTGGGCCTAGACTGTCCATTGGTTCAAGGATGTCAGCGAGCGCGGCAGTTGACTAAGGCCAACAGCTGGGCCTCAAGTTCCGCAAACGCAGCTCCCGCTGCTTGGCAGTGATGCCACCGGTTGCCGTGCGTTATCTGATTATCTGATTATCAATGGATTGCAAGCGTGGATTATCAAAGGTTATTGGACCAAGTACTGATGAACTCCGCCTGTGATACTGATAAAACGTGGATTCAAATGAAGCAAGAAGCACAGCCGCATGGTAGAAAAAGGTATGTGAACCCACCAGGAATGACGGACCCATCATTTTTTGGCCGTGTTTACGGTCTTGGGGGCTTAATTCCGTTCACTTCCACTAGTCGTCGCTGGCTGCGGTTGTTGTGTTGCTTTGTCTTTGTCTTGTTGCTTCTGCTGCAGCACAGCAGCAACAGCAGCAACAGCAAGAGCAGCAGCTTTGGTGCCCCTATATTAGATGCGCTGCCCCTGTTGTGCGAAGAGGTCGGCAGATGCACACGCAACATTCATCAACATTCCTTCTGCATGGCTTTTTCGAAAGTATGACTGGTTTGGGACGGTTGGGAAGATTCACGTTCTCAGGAACACATCTTGTGCTGTTGAACGACCTCCAGAAGTTCCTCAAGCTCGAGCACAACTCCCGTCACTTTGCCTGAGTAACTGCGTTTGTGAAACCGTTTCGGATTAAAAAAAATCAGTCCTTGCGGTCCTTGCGGTCCTTGCGGTCCTTGTTTCAGAGATGGTTCTGGCTGTCGGTCCTGAGGCAAGGGACCCCTCAAATGGCACACCCGGACCTGGCAACGCAGCAGCTGCAGATGCCACAGATGTCGGTGCCAAAGACCATGGTGCCAAAGACGCACCTGTCTGGCGAGACCCGTGAGGCCGAAGCCTCCAATTTTTCGCGAATCCTTTCGTTTTGATTCATTTTGTCCATCAATGATCTTCAATGATCTTCAATGATCTTCAATATTTTTTTTTAGAGGATCAAATTCATCAAATCGAATCAAATTGATCAAATGATCCGCACTTCTCGAGGATGGGTTCGGTTTATGCAGGTGGTCTTCAAACCTCGATTGCCAATGGGAATCTTTGTCTCTGATGTTCAAGGAGGGCGTGTCAGCGGCGTTTTGGATGGTCAAGCTAAAGAACAGGGTCTCGAACCGTCCGGGCTTCAGTCCGAGTTTCAAGACTGGATTTCTTTTCAATTCTTTTCAACCTTTTCCTCAACCTCCCAGCATGGTGCGGTTGTGTGTGTTTCTCGGGTTGACCAAAGGCACTTTGTGATGGTGTCCATCGATGGTCAACCTTACAGCAGCTTGCCACAGCAAGAAAGGAACAACAATGACAGCATAGTTCCTCCGAGTGGACAAGTGAAACTGCACAGCAAGCAAATGCCGATTCGAGGCGAAGCTCTATTGGAGGAAAAAAAGAAGGGCAATGTTCCCTATCGCGTTCCGGGCTTAGTGGCAGTCCTTAGAAAAAGCAAAGAGGCTATCGACAAGTCATTTATATTATATTATATTAATTTATATTATATTTAAAATATAATATATTTAATTCAGATTCATTCCGGGGCAAGGTAGAGCAATGGCCCTATCATTCGAGGTGGTTTGAGAATCACGACCGAAGCTGCAGAATTGTTCCCCAGGTGGCGATCAGGCAACTTCCACCACCTGACGCGGAGGTCTTAATCGAATGCATCAAGGTACAGAACGAAACTGCTTTTAGCAATTTTGAGCCAAGGGCATTTGGACTCAAATTCTCCACCATCCATGTTTCTTGATTGTATTTTCTTCTTCATCTTGTTATTTCTTGTTCTTTCTTGTCACATGTTTCAGCTTGAGTTTCGTCAGAGCCCTGCAGAAATCTGCAGAAACAGCATGCCGCATGCCATCCGCATGCCCTATGCCGCATCCATATAACTTTGCCAATGCTTTGCCAATGCTTTGACAGGTGGTCGGGCAAGATGTGACGGCGATGCCACCAGAGCTGCGGCACTTGGAGTTGGAGGTCTACAGCGAACCGTGTTTCGTAGGCCGCGCTGAGCAGGCCAGCGGGTAGAAGATCATGAAGCTTAACAGGAAAACAGAGAAATCATGAGAGACCATGAGAAACCAATGGAAATCTATGTGAAATTGTCAAAGAGCTTGTTTTGTGTTTTTTGAACGGAAAGTCGCAGAAGTTTCAGCAGCTTCACTATTGGAGGCCAGCTTCTTTCAGAAGCTCATGCCAGATGAGGACAAAAGCAGAACTGAACCCATGCATTTCACTTTGTTTGCCACAGTCTATAGTATCTATAGTCTCTTAGAGCGAGTTCTTTGATTCAGAAGCTTGCCAAGTGTGGGATGGTAGACCTCGAAACTCCCAACAGCAAAGACTTTCCAGGGTACTCGTACAGGTGAGTGTACTTGATCTATCTTGACATCTGACAGGAGTTGAGAAACTGTATCTCTCGGAGACATTTTAGCTTGTCCTGGGCGGGTGCACTGCAGTTCACTCGCCTCTCTGTGAACACGATCTTCGCCAATCAGGCAGGAGATATCAGGAGATGCTGTACATTGTGTACATGCGAAACATATCGAAATATATCGAAACATATTGATATCCTCGATTTCGTTTTTGTGACTTTGTTCCACGAATTCCAATTGGAGTCTCGAATAGTTTCGAGGTCTTTGCTCCTGTGAATGGCACAATGCTCCTTGGCAAGATGCCCGTTCGGATAGTCCGAGCTTGGAGAAAGTAGAGGCGGAATATATCGGAATGATATTTGGAATGATCAAATCATCTCTTTTTGCATCTTGCGTTGCAGAGTAAGATGCAGCAACCTTTAATGCAGTGCAAGGTTTCTTCCTGATGGCGCATTACTCTATCTATGCAGCAGCGGAGATGAGAACATAAAGGGAAGGAAACAAAAAGCTGCTTGAAACTTGGCAAAAGGGAAGAACGATGAGGGAAGATGGGACGATGATGGACGATGAAAGTCCATGACATCCATGACCGATATGGACTTCATATGACTTCATCCAACTTCACATGGCACACGACCAACGCTATCGGCGATCGGGTCCTTATCGGGTCCTTGCATCGCCTTGCACCTGGAGGCATGAGCCCTCTGGAGTTCATCTCCTTCCTGGACGAAGAGATTGACGAACAAGTTCCAGTTGCAGTGACCCGTTTGACCCGTTTGACCCGTTTGGTCGTTTCAGAATGTTTCAGAGTTGTTTTAGAGTCGAAAAGAACTCATTTCATATATTTCAGCTCATTACAATTCCCACAAGAGATCTTTTCTATCTTTATCCATCATTTTTGATACTTTCCTGCCTCTCATTGTCACCCACTTGTCTTCAAGGTTGTCCCGAAACGTGGCGAATTCGACCGTACCTGTGCTAAGGTCTTCCGGGTGACCACCCTCAAAGTGGGAGGACGTCCAGTCGAAGCTCAACAGCCGGCACCAGTGAGGCTTCGTGTTGCTATGAAGATCCATGAAGGTCCATGAAGATCTATGAATCATAAGGAACACATAGGAAAACATACGGACACAAACTCTATAGAAAGCTGATAGGCTTGTAGACTGTTGTAGTAACTTGAACATGTTTGTTCATGTTTGAAATAGTAATAAAAAGTAAAAGTGTGCATGGCCAGGGCGCGGATGTTGTGCACCTCCTCGCAGAGTGTCAACGTGGACATGATGCCGATGAGTGCTCGTACCTTTCCAGTGCACCAGCACACCAAAGTGGGACGAGAGCATCAGCAGGAGTCTCGCAGAGTCTCGCAGAGTCTCGCATGACTGCGAAGTGCTCTTGATTTTGGTTGTTTCTTGTGCTTTGCTTGTGAAGATCAACCACTGAGGCGATCACACGAATTGAGACTTTTCGAATGCAACAGAGTCACAGCAGATAGCTTCGACATGAGCCACTCGAACTTCTTGATCTGCTTTGATCCAAGTTGTGGAGTGAAACGATGTGAAACGATGTGAAACGATGTGAAACGATGTGAAACGATGTGCATTAATTTATGTAAACCGATTTAGAAAAAATCTCGAAGAAATCCGTGATTTCGCAGGAGTTCTTCGAAACGGTGCTGGGGCAGCAGAGTTGCTACTGGACGGCGATCTCACGAAGCCATCTGGTCTTGACGGAGGTGGATCCCGGGAGTTTCCTGGTGCAGAGCCTTGGCGAAGGTTTCACGGTGTGTCTGTGTTGAAGATGTTGAAGGTATTTTTGAAGGTATTTTCATCCTTTTGACTGGCAGCTTGCACTATATACTGTATATATATAATACAATATATACGTTATATACATTTTATATTGAGATATATCAGATACATGGAGTATATTTTTTTGGCCTGGCTATGGCCATTGATGATGTCTTTGACATTTCTTGACTCAGGAATCTGAGTGTGAATCACGTGATGGTGGCTGGACGGCACTTGCAAAAGGGCCAGCAGACTACCATACAGGCCATTACTCCCTGTTTTGCCGTGCCACATTTTTTCCTGCCGTTTTGCAGACTGCCTTCAGTTCATCACGAGTGTGCACAAATGCTTGCGGTGCGAGGTCTGTTGCTTTACAATCCTCCATTACAACGGCTTGGGCAGAAATTCTTTCAACTCAAATTCAACGAGAATTTCCGTCCAATGCAAATGTCACTTTCTCATACTTTCCCACTTTCCTGTTGGAGACTCGTAGGTGAAAGCCACCTTCGACTTTCTTGCAGTGCCTCCTGGCTCTCCTGCTACAGTGCCACAGTGCTTCCTCCGTTTGGAGTTGGCGCCATGACCAAACGCGTTTTCCAAAGCGGAACCAATCCGTTTAGTTTTGAAATAAATTCAAATATTCAATATTAATGTATATATATTATTAATGTATATATATATATTATTAATTATATATATATTATTCAATATTGATGTTTTGTCGAATTGGACTTAAAATTTCCAGCCATTGTCTCGCAAGAGTGGATCATGCAAGCTCATTGAGATTTTGGGCAAATTTTTTTCGTGCAACATTTGGTGAATTCAAAGCTGAGGTGCCTGAGGATGGACACGCAGAACCTCCGAAAGCGCAGTCGCCCCGCAAGAGAAGTTTCTGGTTGGAGCTTTCTGGAAGCGCAGTCTTGGAGACGAGGAGCTTTTTTTTTTTTTTGTGATTTCAAAATATTTCAAATGTGTCATCATTTTTCAATCTTTCAGGTTTGGAAGTTCTCCATGGACAGTTCTCCGAATCAAGCAGAACTAGTGCTGAGGGACATCAAGATGAGCCACACCAGGAAAAGTACTAGACACATTCATTTCCGCAGAATGAGCCTTTTGATTTTGTTCAAACACGCTTCCGCATTTTGTAGGCCGACGATGATCGATATTTTTGACATATATTTGTGACAGGAGAGTGGATGCTACCGATGGCAAGATTGTAGTTGGCAGGGCATGGCAGTTTGACCTGCACAAAAAGGCCTGCCACGACATGCCACGTGCATCCCATTGAAAATCATCTAGTGGAGCTTTCAGCGTGATGTCAGAAAGATCAAGCCCTTGACGTGGACCAAAAGATCAAAAGGACATCGTGTGACATGACATGACCGTCATGTTGACCCACGGTCCTCCGCATGAAATCTGCAACGTCCGGCCAGGCTCTTCGGGAAGAGGTCCAGACCTTCGTGAGCCGAGAGCACTTCCGCATCGAGGCTATCTGGATGCAGCAATGCAAAGTGCGATGCAGTTTGCCAACGCTTCCAATACCTTCTAAATATCTTCCAAATACCTTCCAATACCCTCCAATCATATCAACAATTGACATCAATTGACATATAATTAACATAAATGAAGCCTCTAGGCCTCTTGGATTAATTTGGATAAACACCTTACTGGAAATTCGATTCGACAATGAATGCAGATGACCCATGATGATTCTCGAACAAACGAAAAGCTACACATCTTGTCTGCACATTTGCATGCGGTTTGATGCTAGTCACATTGGGCTCTCGAACTCCATGGGTTTGATTGGATTGCATTTGCACAGCGAAATCTATCAGAGGCTTTTGAGATACCCATTGTTTATGCTCCCATTGCAGTGCAAGTTGTCGAGACGCTACCAACCCTTTTTGTTTCTTTTTTGAATATACCCCCGAAGTTCTGTGGTGTTTTTTTTTTTTCACGAAAGCCAGCCGCTAGGCTAGGCGAAGTTATTTTTGTCGAACAGAGCGAGTTAAGGGGGTCTGGGGGCAGAGCGCCCGAAGTGGGATAAAAATGCGGAAAATAGGTGGTAAAAAAGGTGGACGCAGGTAAACTTTTTTAGGGTTGTGTACCAGGTGGCAATTGGGTGACGTTGGGGTATCGATTCCCCCCTGGTCCGCCCTCCGAGGTGGATCTGGGCGGGAAAATGATGTCGAGCAAAACTATGGAAAAGCAATGGAAAAAAATGAAGGTTTCTGGGTAAAGAGTCTCTGGGTGAAAAGTATATGGGTGAAAAGTATGTGCAAGAAGGGTTTCTGGGTGCAGAGTCTCTGGGTGAAAAGTATATATGGGTGAAAAGTATGTGCAAGAAGAGTTTCTAGGTGAAGAGTCACTGGGTGAAAAGTATTCTCTGGGTAAAAAGTATATGGGTGAAAAGTATGTGCAAGAAGAGTTTCTGGGTGAAGAGTCTCTGGGTGAAAAGTCTGTGCAAGAAGAGTTTCTGGGTGAAGAATCTCTGGGTGAAAAGTATAAGTGTATGTGCAAGAAGAGTTTCTAGGTGAAGAGTCTCTGGGTGAAAAGATGTGAAAACTATATGGGTGAAAAGTATGTGCAAGAAGAGTTTCTGGGTGAAAGTATATGGGTGAAAATTATGTGCAAGAAAAGTTTCTAGGTGAAGAGTCTCTGGGTGAAAACTATATTGGTGAAAAGTATGTGCAAGAAGAGTTTCTGGGTGAAGAGTCTCTCGGTGAAAAGTATGTGCAAGAAGAGTCTCTGGGTGAAAAGTATATGGGTAAAAAGTATATGGGTGAAAAGTAAAATTGAGGCTCCGATGTGGGACCATTATATGTAAGAGTTTCTGGGTGAAGAGCCTCTAGGTGAAAAGTATATGGGTGAAAAGTTTGAGCAAGAAGAGTTTCTGGGTGAAGAGTCTCTGGGTGAAAAATATATGGGTGAAAAGTAGGTGCAAGAAGAGTCTTTGGGTGAAAGTATATGGGTGAAAAATATGTGCAAGAAAAGTTTCTAGGGGAAGAGTCCCTGGGTGAAAAGTATATTGGTGAAAAGTATGTGCAAGAAGAGTTTCTGGGTGAAGAGTCTCTGGGTGAAAAGTATATGGGTGAAAAGTATGTGCAAGAAGGGTTTCTGGGTGCAGAGTCTCTGGGTGAAAAGTATATGGGTGAAAAGTATGTGCAAGAAGAGTTTCTAGGTGAAGAGTCTCTGGGTGAAAAGTATTCTCTGGGCAAAAAGTATATGGGTGAAAAGTATGTGCAAGAAGAGTTTCTGGGTGAAGAGTCTCTGGGTGAAAAGTCTGTGCAAGAAGAGTTTCTGGGTGAAGAATCTCTGGGTGAAAAGTATATGGGTGAAATGTATTGAAGAGTCTCTGGGCGAAAAGTATGGTGGAAAATAGGGGTAGATGGGATGCTGGCAATGGAGGGGAAAATGATGAGAAAAACAGTAGAAAAAATGAGGGAATATGACAGACAACAATGGGAAAAAAATGGGAAAGGAGGGGAAAATGATGAGAACAACAATGGAAAAAAGGAGGGACTTTGACATAAAACAATGGAAAAAAAAATAGGAAAGCAATGGAAACGGTGGAAAGAATAGGGAGAGGGTAAAATGATGCCAAGTAAAATTGAGGCTCCGATGTGGGACCATTATTGGTAAAGTTTACGGCGTCAAGCATGCGTGAAACAATGGAAAAGCAATGGAAAACTTGCTGTTTCGATGTGTGACCACTATGAAGAGTTTCTGGGTGAAGAGTCTCTAGGTGAAAAGTATATGGGTGAAAAGTATATGGGTGAAAAGTTTGAGCAAGAAGAGTTTCTGGGTGAAGAGTCTCTGGGTGAAAAGTCTGTGCAAGAAGAGTTTCTGAGTGAAGAGTCTCTGGGTGAAAAGATGTGAACAGTATATTGGTGAAAAGTATGTGCAAGAAGAGTTTCTGGGTGAAGAGTCTCTGGGTGAAAAGTATATGGGTGAAAAGTAGGTGCAAGAAGAGTCTTTGGGTGAAAGTATATGGGTGAAATGTATGTGCAAGAAAAGTTTCTAGGTGAAGAGTCTCTGGGTGAAAAGTATATGGGTGAAAAGTATGTGCAAGAAGAGTTTCTGGGTGAAGAGTCTCGGGGTGAAAAGTATATGGGTGAAAAGTATGTGCAAGAAGAGTTTCTGGGTGAAGAGTCTCTGGGTGAAAAGTATGTGCAAGAAGAGTTTCTGGGTGAAGAGTCTCTGGGTGAAAAGTATTCTCTGGGTAAAAAGTATATGGGTGAAAAGTATGTGCAAGAAGAGTTTCTGGGTGAAGAGTCTCTGGGTGAAAAGTCTGTGCAAGAAGAGTTTCTGGGTGAAGAATCTCTGGGTGAAAAGTATATGGGTGAAATGTATTGAAGAGTCTCTGGGTGAAAAGTATGGTGGAAAATAGGGGTAGATGGGATGCTGGCAATGGAGGGGAAAATGATGAGAAAAACAGTAGAAAAAATGAGGGAATATGACAGACAACAATGGGAAAAAAATGGGAAAGGAGGGGAAAATGATGAGAACAACAATGGAAAAAAGGAGGGACTTTGACATAAAACAATGGAGAAAAAAATTGGAAAGCAATGGAAACGGTGGAAAGAATAGGGAGAGGGTAAAATGATGCCAAGTAAAATTGAGGCTCCGATGTGGGACCATTATTGGCAAAGTTTACGGCGTAAAGCATGCGTGAAACAATGGAAAAGCAATGGAAAACTTGCTGTTTCGATGTGTGACCATTATGGAGTAGAAGCGCAGAAAAAAAAAACATGGAAGAAACGAGGAAAACCGTTTATACGGTGCAACTGTAGGGATTGTGGAAGGTGCATTTGGGTAGGCGTTAGACACCCAGCTGCCCCAAAAGTACCCAGCTCTGTCGACACAACAAAATACCCAGCTTGGAGTCTTTTTGTCGACATCCCTTGGCTTTTGGGACATGGGACAGCATGGGACCACTATAAAATGTTTTTTTTTCCATCCTACCCTAAAATACCCAGCTGCCCCAAAAATACCCAGCTCTGTCGACAGGACATAGGACAGCATGGGACCACTATAAAATGGAAAACTATCTCCATCCCACCCAAAAAAAATACCCAGCTGCCCCAAAATACCCAGCTCCGTCGATACCAGTCTTTTTGTCGACATCCCTTGGCTTTTGGGACATGGGACAGCATGGGACCAATGGAAAACTACCAGAAAATAAGTCTTGGTCTTTGTGTCAGCATCTCTTGGCTTTGGGACGTGCCGGGCTAAAGAAAAATGTGGTGTCTTTGGGGCGATGATGGTGGGAGGATGTGGGAAGGCTGCGGCACTATAAAATGGAAACCCCCAACCCCAGGAAATCCTACCAGGAAGGGCATGTAATCTCTATAAAATCAGAGCACCCAACCCCTCAAAAAACCATTCATTTTTGGATGTTGTAAGATACAGGGGGTTGGGGGTTCCTATTCTATAGTAGAAAGTTGGCTAGTTCCTTCATTTTAAGGCTAGGCTCCAGGGTACGTTGGGGCCTCCCATTTTATAGTGATGGAGGGTTTTGCAGTAAATTTGTAGCTGTAAATATTTGCTTTTTCAAATAAATTTCTTATTTTATAGAGGCGCACCTGTTTTGTGACCTTGGGTGTTTCCATTTTATAGAGGTCCCACTCCGGGGGGGGAGGGGTGCCCCCGTTTTAGTACTATAAAATGGGGGCACCCAACCCCCCCACTTAATCTAGTAGGGGATGTGAAAAGTATATGGGTGAAAAGTATGTGCAAGAAGAGTTTCTGAGTGAAGAGTCTCTGGGTGAAAAAATATGCGCAAGAAAAGTTTCTAGGTGAAGAGTCTCTGGGTGAAAAGTATATTGGTGAAAAGTATGTGCAAGAAGAGTTTCTGGGTGAAGAGTCTCTGGGTGAAAAGTATATGGGTGAAAAGTATGTGCAAGAAGAGTTTCTAGGTGAAGAGTCTCTGGGTGAAAAGTATATGGGTAAAAAGTATATGGGTAAAAAGTAAAATTGAGGCTCCGATGTGGGACCATTATATGTGCAAGAAGAGTTTCTGGGTGAAGAGTCTCTAGGTGAAAAGTATATGGGGGAAAAGTTTGTGCAAGAAGATTTTCTGGGTGAAGAGTCTCTGGGTGAAAAGTCTGTGCAAGAAGAGTTTCTGGGTGAAGAGTCTCTGGGTGAAAAGATGTGAACAGTATATTGGTGAAAAGTATGTGCAAGAAGAGTTTCTGGGTGAAGAGTCTCTGGGTGAAAAGTATATGGGTGAAAAGTAGGTGCAAGAAGAGTCTTTGGGTGAAAGTATATGGGTGAAAAATATGTGCAAGAGAAGTTTCTAGGTGAAGAGTCTCTGGGTGAAAAGTATATTGGTGAAAAGTATGTGCAAGAAGAGTTTCTGGGTGAAGAGTCTCTGGGTGAAAAGTATATGGGTGAAACGTATGTGCAAGAAGAGTCTCTGGGTGAAAAAGTATATGGGTGAAAAGTATGTGCAAGAAGAGTTTCTCTGGGTAAAAAGTCTGTGCAAGGAGAGTTTCTGGGTGAAGAGTCTCTGGGTGAAAAGTGTATGGGTGAACTGATGTGCAAGAAGAGTTTCTGGGTGAAGAGTCTCTGGGTGAAAAGTATATGGGTGAAATGTATGTGCAAGAAGAGTTTCTGGGTGAAGAGTCTCTGGGTGAAAAGTATATGGGTGAAAAGTATGTGCAAGAAAAGTTTCTGGGTGAAAGTATATGGGTGAAAAATATGTGCAAGAAAAGTTTCTAGGTGAAGAGTCTCTGGGTGAAAAGTATATGGTGAAAAGTATGTGCAAGAAGAGTTTCTGGGTGAAGAGTCTCTGGGTGAAAAGTATATGGGTGAAACGTATGTGCAAGAAGAGTTTCTGGGTGAAGAGTTCTGGGTAAAAAGTATATGGGTGAAAAGTATGTGCAAGAAGAGTCTCTGGTGAAAAGTATATGGGTGAAAAGTATGTGCAAGAAGAGTTTCTAGGTGAAGAGTCTCTGGGTGAAAAGTATATGGGTAAAAAGTATATGGGTGAAAAGTATGTGCACGAAGAGTTTCTGGTTGAAGAGTCTCTGGGTGAAAAGTCTGTGCAAGAAGAGTTTCTGGGCGAAGAATCTCTGGGTGAAAAGTATATGGGTGACATGTATGTGCAAGAAGAGTTTCTGGGTGAAGAGTCTCTGGGTGAAAAGTATCTGGGTGAAAAGTATGTGCAAGAAGAGTTTCTGGGTGAAGTCTCTATGTAAAAAGTATATATGGGTGAAAAGTATGTGCAAGAAGAGTTTCTGGGTGAAGAGTCTCTGGGTGAAAAGTCTGTGCAAGAAGAGTTTCTGGGTGAAGAATCTCTGGGTGAAAAGTATATGGGCGAAAAGTATGTGCAAGAAAAAAAATTGGGTGAAGAGTCTCTTTGTGAAAAGTATATGGGTGAAAAGTCTGTGCAAGAAGAGTTTCTGGGTGAAAAATCTCTGGGTGAAAAGTATATGGGTGAAATGTATTGAAGAGTCGCTGGGTGAAAAGTATGGTGGAAAATAGGGGTAGATGGGATGCTGGCTTTCCTTCCCCCCTTCTCAGGTTTTCGGATTCAGAGCCGCATTTTTGGACCGCAGGAACTTGCCTCTGGTGGTGGTGCAACGGCATTTCCACAGAAGAAAACGCTGCGCCTCACTGCCCTTAGCTCGATACTTGCACCAGCAAACATTTGTCATAGCGACATGGACAAACATGTCGAACAATGTCGAACAATGTCGAACAATGTCGAACAATGTCGAACAAGGGCACGTTAAGATATGTTAAGTGCGAACCGAAGTAGTCCAAGTAGTCCAAGTAGTAAATGAATTTGCGAAGTTGGAAAATTTGGAAACAAGGAACCCGATTTGGATGAGCCGTTCTGGACAAGTGCAACAGCTCTCCAAAGAGGATTGTCCTTGGACGATCTTCGTTGGACGATCGTTTTGGCCTGTTGACAAAGCCAGGCTTTTGAATTGCAAATCCTGCTTCCATCTGCTTCCATCTGCTTCCTATACTTCTGTTCTAAATCCAAGTTTTATGTAGACATGAGACATCGATCTATGAGACATTGTGAAACTGTATCATTGAACAACATCGATGACAGTCGCAGGACTTCGTCGAGGTGGATGCCGGTGACCGCATTCTGCTCTATACGGGAGCACGGGATGGAACTCCAGATGGACCTGGATCTGTCGGACAATTGATTTGGACTGTTCAGCGCGACTGATACTGTCAAAGCAGCTAGGAATACAGGCTGAGCCACTCACACGGAGTCCTGTAGATCGATGTCGTGCTTGCATGTGTTAATGCACCGCTTTACCATGCTGCAGCTAACTGTTGCAAAAAAGAGAGTCAGAAGCAGCTAAAAGTGTCGGAAAACACATCTTTGTGGCCACTGCAGAAGCTGTGCAGAGACGTCCATCCCTTTTAAATCCTTTTACCACGGCCCAGGCTTGATCCCTGTCCAGATCTGTCGATCAAGTCTGAAACAGACGGCTGACATCCGCTGACCACATCCATTTTGTGACTTTCGGCTCAGTCTGAACCGTGACCTGCAGGGCCGGTGCTCCCGACATGGCGCGGGTGCTCTGGTGCCTTGCAGCAGTTGCGGCAGGCCTGGGAAAAATGATGAAAAATGATGAAAAATGTCTCGCCAGGAGGAGATACAGATCTTACAGATTGATGCGCCAGGATTAAGAGAAATAAGAGAAATAAGAGAAATGACCTTGAGGCTTTCCACTCCACAAGTTGGTGGCAGGATAGAGTCGGATAGAGCTGGTCACCGCAAATCCTTCATAGCAAGAAATGGATCTCACAGAGGAATGTAAAGTCCCATTCCAAGCCACTCGGGGGCCCCCCACATTGCCAAGTGGCTTGGAAGACTCTGAAAGCTGAAAAGGAGTGAAGCTGAATGAAGATGCAGCTCCTTTGGAACTGCAAAGTCAGTATCTTCGGCAGCACTTGTTTGACTCCCAAAGATTAGCTGATTAGCTCTAGTCTAGGACTATAGAATTTAGATGAATTTAGAAGCTCCCGGTTTTTCTTTGCCCGTGCAGGCTTTGTACATTCCTCATGTTCTGTGGACATTTATTTATGCCATATTATGCCTAGCTTTTCCTGTTTTCCCTGAGTTTGTTCAGCTCCGTACAAATCATGGGTAGTGCACCGTGTGTTCAGCGGTAGACCTGGCCACGACCCGCTTCGGGTCGCTTGAGGCACCTGGCTCGAGTCCAGGCCAAGGCCGAGCTGGCGCAACTGAAAGAGCTACCTGGCAGGGAAAAAGACGCTTTGGACATCTTTGGACAACGGAAAATCATGGATAATTGATGATAATTGATGATAATTGATGATAATTGATGATATCTGATACCTTCGGATACCGAAAATCGAGGGTATACGCTGAACACAAAGGTGGATCAGCAATAAGACTTGTTCGAATCTATTTCAGTTTCTGCACAATTTGTTCTTAAAGATGTCTAGTCTTGTAGGGGATATTGCTGATGTATGTTGATGTGGTGTTGGGGGACCGAGGCAAGTAGCTCTTGCTGGAGAGGAGGAATTGGAGGTCCAAGAGAAACTTGGAGTTTTTTCTTTTTTTAATAGATGCAACATGATGTCACATAGAATAAACATGAATAAACCTTGTCAAAATATGTCAAAATATGTCAAAATCCGACGCAAAGTTAAGGATTTTGAGGGTCCTGACCGGTGACAGCTGAGGAAACTGGCCGAGTCTCAGGAGCGTGTGGCAGCCTTGCGGCAGAAGCTCCAAGATCTCGGTGACTCGGGAAACATGGAAGCACCATGACATATCAAGCATATTAACTATGAAAAATGTCAGAAACAATATGCAGCATATCCAAATACACATTAATATGTCGTAAAAAAAATCTGCTATAGAATCTCTATAGTCAATAGTCAAACATCAGCTCGAGTGGCTGCTGAGTGGCTGCTGAGGCAACGGATCTCCGGCTCCGCTGTCCTTTCTGCAGACGAACAGCGACTCTCAGCTCCACGCCATCCAGGCGAGATGGCGATACAGCCCGAAGAACTCCTAAGACATGTGGACCACATTGGACCACACTGGAGCACATTGGACCCCAAGACCTTTCCTTTTTCGATTGTTGGAAACATTTCGAAACTCTTTTTCCATCTTTTTCCATCTTTTTCCACCATCCATAAACCTCTTTTACATGTTAAAGAGCAAGTCAAAACGTACCGTCTGGATCCAGAAGAAGCTGACGGAAGAGGAGGACCGTGTGGAGGTCACGCGCCTCTTGCTGCGACAGAAGCAGCGCAAGCTCGCGAAAGAAAAAGAGAAGTTGCAACTTCTGCACCTTGAATCAAGTCACTGCAAGTCACTGCAAGTTACCAAGGTGTCTTTGAATCTCACCAAGTTGCGAAGGCTTTGAACATGTTTGAACTTTGATTTTCAAAGATTGACTTCTTTCGAGGCAAAAGCTACAGCATAAGATGCAGGCAACTGCACACGAACGTGAAAAGGTGCTGGTGGAGACCCATCATCTTCTGGATACTCCCATGTTCGAATCGTGGCCAAAGAGAACATAAGATGATTGAATTGTGTTCTGATTAGACCGGGTCAACGTTTTCACGAATGATGGAAGTGTCGAATTCAGTCAATTCAGTTTCAGCCTTCAATAGCCTTCATGCAAACCTTCTGTGACCACTCTGAGGAGAACAGCAATTTGCCTGCACCAGAGGCCAAAATCCAAGTGCCACAAGATGCAGAGGACACACAGTTCACACTCTGATCCATTTGCGCCATGATTCATGATACAGTTCTCAGAACTCAGAACGGACCATCTTTCATGGAACAGACGTCAACAAAAGTGTGCCACAAATCTTTAGAGTATAGCAGGCATAGCACGTTGTTTCAAAAATACTCCTGTGGCGCCAGGAGCAGTCTCAGCGGAAGTCGCAGATCGCCGTCGGCCGCGCCATCGAGGATGCGAAATTCGCGAAGGCGCAGACGGAAGAGCTGACCAGTCTTCTGGCAGAACAAGGCAGGGATTACTTGAAGATACGTGAAGATATTTGAAGTGTTATGATTGCTGTACAATCTGTACATTTTTCTGCAAGAAATCAGGAACATATTTGGAATGCATAGGGAATATCAGAGAGTAAGATATCAACAATTCATTCATTTGATCCAAATATATCCAAGTACATTTTACGGGCTGCTTCGTGTCACCAAAGCTGAGCAAACCTTGGTACCGGATTCATATGGAGACTGATCCTACTGAGTACTACTGCTTTTACCCCTGACAGCATAGGATCCAAGCTGAACGAGTTGAAGAGAAAGGCTGCAGAAAGTGAGCAGCACTTCCAAAAGCTGCAGCAAGAGAGGCGTTCCAAGTGGTGCCAAAGTGGTGACATCCTGGCCACTCCAACGTAAGAGACACGGACAAGGATAGAAAAGGTCTAAAAGTGCAGTCACTGCTCCGATTTTGTCGGATTTTCTTCCGTTCGATCTGGTCGCCATGCTTGATGAATTGAAATTCGATCGATGCATTTCATGAGAGATCGATGCCAAATCAAACCATCTAATCGTCATTAATCACTGAACTGCTATCCACCAGACTTCATTGGAGTCCTTTCACGGATTTGCGCCATGCAGACAATTGCAGAGATTGGTGAAGAGAGTCTGCATGGTTCATCATTTTGCCATATGCTCTCTCCATCTCTATAATTCTATAATATTCTATATAATATTATATATATAATATTATATGTATAATATTTATATATAATACGATATATGTATAATATACATATATAATTAGATAATTATATATATATATATTAGAATTTATACAATCTCTTTCTCATTCTCTCGCAGGCAGCGCTTGGAGAAGTCCCTGGAACGCTCCAAGGAGCTGCGCCACAGCGATGAGACCTTCGCAGCGCTGAAGGCAAAACAAGACGCCCAGGTGCACCTCGCGACAGGACATGGACATCATATGGACATCATATGGACATCATATGGACATCATATGGACATCATATGGACATGGATAGAATATAACTTGAAATCCATGTTAACATAAAATATGTCACAAATTGTCGCAAAATATGTGAAAAAATGTGAACATAACCACATCGCAACATCCTGACATGAAACGACATGACATGAGATGCATTGTGATGAAATGATCTGAAGATTTTGACAGGATGAAATGGTTGGGTAGCTTGCTAGTTTGTGGGATATCTTCATTGATACTCAAGATGTCTTTAGTTGATACTGATACATACTGACACTGTATGTCCAATGGATTTCTACTTCGTAGTCTCAGCACCTTTTGTTCTTTGATGTGTACTCAGTGTACTTTGATTCGATTTGTTGGCTCAGCTTCAGGCTGCCTTGGAAGCGAAGGAGAAGGACTTGGAGGCCACGCAACTGGAAACAGCGAAGACAAAACAACAACTCCTCGAGGAGAAGGAAGAGCTCAAGAAGGTCCGAATCGCATAGAATGCATGTCTGTACATGTGTGGGTGTGTGTTTATTGTTGTGTAGTTGTTTTCACTGTTTTGTACATTTCATTTAGTATCTAGGTGGTGGTATTCTCTTAACGGAAGCACTTCGGAAGGGCTTGACAATTGCAGCAACACAAGTCAAGAATCCAAAGCAAAGGGAACCTCAACTCCCAACTCAAACCATGTTCTCTTGATTCCCAGAATTCCCAGGAGCAAGAATCCATCGCACGTCTGGAAGACCAGTCGAAGGAAGAGGAATCCAAGATGAGCAAAGTGCAAGAGCAGGAGCGCTGAGAACGAAGCACCGTGTTGTGACCCAAATGTTCGAAATTTTCCAAATGTCTGCCAGTTCCTCCCGGCGACGGAAGGAGAGAGAGGTGGAAGAAAAGCGGAAGGCCTTAGAGGAAGAAAAGAACACTTTGGCCGCAAATGCCTTAGTTTCAAACATTTCAAACAGAAAATCCAAAGCATTTTCGCACATTTTCCGTCAGGCTGCTTTAATTGAATTGGCCATGGGTGTCTTCAACCCAGCCTAGAGCCTAGGAGGTGAAGAAGTTGAACCAGAAGTATGAAGATCTGCAAGTGAAGGCAGCCCAGGACGACCAAAGAATTGTAACGTGTCGCAATATGTCGCAATATGTCACAATAGAACTTGGATTTCCAGGTCCAGGTCGTATTGCCATTTCGAGGAGAATGTGACGCTGCAAACAGTGCAGCAACAGCTGATGCAAGAGCAGATGCTTGGCTGAAGATCGTTTGGACAGGTGTTATGATGCGAGTCATGATGTGTCTTGGGCTGTCGGGCTGTCCTTCAGCAGCAGAACTCAGCAATTCAGCCTTTCTGAAGGCAGCGAACACAAGAACTGGCGGAGCGTTCTCAACAACAACTGGAAGAAGAGCAGCGACAAGCCGAGGCTAAAACAGGGAGAGGTAACCAGGTACCCGTACCATCCCGTACCAAGATGCCTATTTTTCTCAACAGAGGACTCCATTCAAAAGTAGGTTAGACTTGGTTATCGAACATTCGTAATTATCATACTTCGTTTCATTTCTTTTCTTCAGGCTTGTTTCAAGATAGGTTAGGCAGGCGGCTACACAGTCCAGACAGTTGGCTGGGTCCAGTTAGCTTGTTGGCTGGCCCCAGCGTTCTGCCATCTCTCAACTTGCATTCCATGTAGCACTTAAGTTTGGGAAAACGGGCAAACGTGCTGTTCAGCGGTTTAACGAGCCGTCTGACGAGCGGTTTGTTGACGTGCGACGTTGCCAGGCTGAAGCCAAAGATGCTGAGGATGAGCTTGCAGAGGTACCACTGTCGATTCTTCATGGCACTGTCGCGTCGTTTTTAGCCTTGCGGATGTGATGATTCTCATTTGTACAGGCAAGGATGGAAGAGGAAGCAGAGTTTAAGGACCGGATATGGAACAAATTGAAACGATATCAAAGCTGGTGATGAAATGTGATGAACTTCTCATGAACTTCTGATGAATCATGAAGCGAAATGAAGCGAAATGAAGCGACATGAAGCGACATGCGACAGGACCAGGAAGTGGCTCTGGAAAGGAAGTTCCGAGCACAGCAGGCGGAGTCTCGTCCAGTTGCAACTGTCAACACAAAGATTTGTGCAACATTTTGTAAGTCATTTTATATCATTTTATCATTGTATATCATTGTATAAGTCACATCAAAGCACCCTCTTGTACTTTGTGACTCTTTGTGGAACTCCCAAATGGCATTTCCAATGACTTAGTGAGGCGGCTTTGGATAAGCAGTTTCAAGAGGAAGAGGCTGCCACAGAGGAACGAGAAAAGAAAAAGGCATTCTACGCTCTGGAATCTTGGGATCCGCAAGAGCATAGCATAGCATTGCAAAACATGAAATAACTGAAAGTTATAAGAAGTGATGAAGAGATGCCAAGAGCCTTCGGCACGGTTTTAATGAGTGGTGTGATCAGCTCAGGAACCTTTGCGTGAGGACCCGGGGCTTTCGCCGGCCTTCACACATTATAAGGTAGCTCGACAAGTAGACAAGTAGACAAGTAGGCAAGCAAACGCAGTTGTCTAATCGAATGAGTAGAAGGAATGCATATTACGTTATATTACTTTAATATACTTTAATACGAATGATGAAATTCTACATGGCCTTCAAACATGACATGCTGTTGAGATATGTTGAGATGCAGGAGATCAAGAGTACTGAGGACACAGCCAAAGCTCGCAAACAGAAGATCCAGGAGGATGAAGAGGACTGGACTATCCCGGACTATGCTGTTCTAATCTGTTTTAATGTGTTGTGATACTTATATGCTTTTGTGACCTGACCTCCGAGAATTTTGCTGAAACAGCAGTTTTCCGTTGTTTTCCGATTGATGCGACCTGTGCAGGATGTGCAAGCAGAGATCAGCAAATTGCAGGAAGACTTGGCCCGGGAAACCGATGCACAGAAGAAGCGCCTCACAGAGCATCAGTACGAGGCACCGAGATGCAACGAGCAGAGCTTGAAATGTGATGTTTCACCTTGACACATCTTGAAACTGTTGAAACTGCACATCTCAAAGCTTTGTCAGAAGTGAAGTCTGAAGAGAAATTTGAAAGTCAAAGCGGCTTGAAGCGGCTTGATACTTGACAGGTGCAAAGGATGCAAAACAAGTAACTTGGATTTCACTTGGCACATCTTGGCACATCTTGGCACTTTGATTCACTTTGATTCACTTTGATTCACGACTTGATCCGGACAATCCCACGATTTGATGCAAAAGTTGACGACTTGTGAAGGCTTTGGATGGTTTTGGCATGTTTTGGCATGGCGCCTAAGCAGCACATTGCAGCCCTTAAGGCACCTGAAGCTGCAGCGTGCAACGGAAGGAAAACTTCGAAAGATGGACTTGCAGCAGCTTGGATGCGAGGAATGAAACGTACATGGACTTTGACGCGTCATTCATGTTCGAAGGGAATCTAGAGGATCAGAAAGTCTGCAACTTCTCAACAAATGGGATTTGATGGGATCTGATGGGATCCGATGGGATCCGATGGGCTTGAGAAGCCGAAGATCTGGGAAGATCTGGGATAATGTTAAGAGCTTTATGGAGCTTTGCAAGTTGCGCCAAGGCTCAGCGGATTGAAGTCTGAGATGCCAGAGCAGCATCGACATTTGCAGCTGTCCTCAGAATCCTCGGAATCCTCGGATACCGTTCACGTCGTTCACGTTTCTGGCTAGTCTCCTCTTGACCACCAACATGTCCACAACAGTTACAGTTGCCTTAGATTTTCCACTGTATTTCAGATTTTAGTTTAGCTGAAGCATGTCGGCAAGCTCCAATCGAATGTCAATTCTGTGAGCCGAGGCAAGACGTGCAAGCAGAGTTGGCCAAGGCCAAGGAGCGCTTGGCCAAGGCGTTTGCGCTGACAACGGAGGTTTTGTGAAACTTGCCATGCCAGGTATATTGCATCAGTTATACAATGTTATACTCCTATATATATATACTATTGCCTATTGCTATCTATTTCCTAATCTCTACAAACTAAGCAACATCAGATTCTAGTCCAATGAAACAGTTATGCAATCACATAACATCACATAACAGCATGGCAACATAGCACAATATCATACCAAATACCAATGAACGTGTTCTGAAATGCTGTCACCACAAGGCGCAGCATGGTTTGGCAGAAGAGAAGAGCTCCACCCAGAGGCGCTGGTGATATGGCCACTATTGGCTAATGCTTCTCATAGTTTTGAAGGGAACACAGCTTCACAATATTTCATAGCTCCAAATTCACGAAGTCGCCCACAGTGCAAATTGCGAATGTGACAACAGTTGAAAAAAATGTTGAGAAACGTATTAATTATTAATTCCAAGTTTCATAGCGCTGCATCTGGCTTTTCCTCGAGGCGCTTGGATGAGGTTGCCAAAGCTGCAGCAGCCAAAGAGTCAGAAACTGCACAAGAGCTGAGACAACTCAAGGAGCCGAATCCGACCCAGAGATACAAGATGTTACAAGATGATACAACCGATTTACACGTACGTATAATTAATCAAGTATACAAAATTATACAACCACACTCATTTTTCAAGAACTTCTCATACTTCTGCAAACACAGTGTTTGGACTTCGAGCCCCCACAGCCAATCCGGCGAAGGAGCAAAATGAAGCAGAAATCAAGAATTGGAAAGAGAAGGCATTTCAGTGGGCATGACATTTCAATCACATGTGCAATTTCAAAGACACTTTTTCACCGTGGCTATGCGATGAGGATTGCCTCCAGTCGTGCTTTAAATTTTGCTCTACCACGCTCCATTCGTTTCAACATGTTTCTCAACTGTGGTGACTTCCTTGAGCTTAGGTGCAAGCAGCGCGCTTGGCCGGGCAGCAGGAACTTCAGTCTGTAGATCCTTGGTAGAAGATATAGCTAAGAATAACTAAGATATATAGGATTGGAATGGATTGGAGTCATTGGAGCTGATATAGCTGGAAGTGACTCACTGTGACTCACTGGAATTGTTTGTGCTGTACTTTTTGAGTTGGCAGAGCTTGATGGCGCGATTGACTTTCCAAACACTTAAAACGTGAATGTGCCGCGACAACTAACTGAGCAGGACTAGGACCACTGCTCGGACCCGGGCAAGTTTGACCAATTTCACCTGATCGACGTTTCACAGTTTGGTCGAAGTTTGGTCGACGGTCGACGCTTCGACGGGCCAAGGAGGCGAAGCTGGAGGCGCAGCGCCGGCAGCTCGAGGAGATGCCACAGTGCCACATGGAAGTGCCGTGAGTTCCGTGTGAGTGGGCCATTAAGCCGTTCAGCATCATTAAGTGGAAGCATGTGGAAGCATACACATGTGAGTATCGCATGTGAGTATTACACGTGAGTATCGTGAGTGGCCATTTCATGGTCACATCATTGTCACATGATGAGTGCTGCACTGTGGGCGGGATGTGGTATTTGCAGTGGGACTAAGTGAGACAAAAAGAAGCAAACGTCAGCAAGATGGCAGTGTAAGTGCACGGCTGCAAGGCAGTTTCATTCTTTTCAAAGTGAAGAACCACTTTCATTCATTACTGAAGAGCCAATACACCTTGCAACCGGCTGCTTTTACTCCTGGAACTTTCCAGGAGAACCACTTGGCAACTTCACGCAAGGCTGAGATACTCCACAAAGCTTTGGACAAGGATGAGGAGACTTCGGAGACTTTGGAGACTTGGGAGACTTGCGTGGAGATGGAAACTCCAAGAGACTTTACAGGTGCTTTATGGTGCTTTCACTATGCACCTGTCTGATTGTGTCTTCCCATGTCCAGGAGCAGTTGCAAAAGGCCCAGACCTATTTGGCCAAGGTGCTGTGTGCTGTTCAAAACATTGTTCAAAAATGTTCAAAATATTGACATCTTTGTTTTCGTAAAACATGCTTTGGAATCAAAATATTGAGTTTTTAAAACATTGCTTACATTTGCTTACCATGGCTTACCGGCTTACTTTTTGTGTGTCAGGAGATGAATGCCGCGGAAACAGCTGAGTCCAAGGTCCAGGCGCAGCACGCTGCACAAGTTGCGTTGCGGCGTTGCGGCGTTGTTTCTGCGTCGTTCTGCGTTGCTCGGAGGCGTTGCCCAGCATCAAGGCAGGCAGAGAAGCTTCCACCCAAAGTCGACGGTTTGACGATGTTTGACGGTTTGACGGTTTGACGGTTTGACGGTTTGACATTGCAGGAGAAGAAAAATGTCGAAGAGGCCCAGCATCCTGAAATGACTTTTCTTTTGCTCGTTTCATGATGTTCATGATTTTCATATAAACAATGGGATTCTACGGATTCTACGGATTCTACTGCTCCATTCTGCCACGACGTGACGATGACGTGATGGTCCAATAGTCCAATGGTGTCAGGCGGTGTCGACCTGGCGCTCAGCTCTCAAATCCGCGCTGGCCAATGTCACCTGGCGACGCCTGTGATGCGATGGTGATGACAGTGATGACAGTTCTCATTTGATTCCGAGTCAATCCGATTCATCATTTGATTTTGTGAATCTTGATTATCTTGATTCAGTTTGGACTCGGAATCAAATTGATCGACAGATTGACTTGCATTACATTTCAAATTATTTCGGGATATTCACATTGATGTATAGTCATTCATTTGTGATTTCTAAAGTCAACCAGGCTTCATTTGCAGATGCTATTGTCATAGCAAGTGCCATGCCAGTTGTGCTCAGTTGGGACAAATATGGGCATATGGTCACACACTTTAGATGCGAGATGATACAAGGGCGTTCTTGTACATGGCTTCCTGATTTGGTTCAGGTCGGCTTGGGCAGCTGACCGTTGTACACCGATTGGCGTTGACCAAAACAGTAATTGCGCGAACTTTTGAATTGGTGGGCTGCTGGCAAACAATGAACACTAGCGCAAGGGCAAAACGCACGTTTGCAAAAACCATCACGGTCAATGTCATGTCATTGTCGCTGCCTTCAAGGTTCAAATGGAGTCCCAATCCACACAGCAATTCAGGAGATGTTCCATGGTACATTGATACTGTACAATCTGTACATATTTAGGATCATTTTTGTATTCCGCGATGATTGAGTCTGCAGCGGATGGAAAAAACACTGGGCAGAAGCGATCAAATTCAGCAAGACCCCTGTCCATTGGTCCATCCTTTTTCGACCACGTGTGCCCGCTTTCATCAGACAACAAACATGGCTGGCAACGCGTTTGTGCAGGCCTGGGGCAGTGTTTCATGCGTGAAAGTGTTGCCCGAACTCACCACGATCAGTGTGATAGTGTCATCAAACATCAAATGAACCGGTTCCATTGTATGGATTTCAGCGATACTATCGAATTCCAGCAAAAACCGCCTTTTGATGTTGTAAACAGGAAGTTATTCTTGATACCATTCCACCATGTTGATCCATTTTCGTCGCAGTCCTTGGTTTACATTGAATTTAATTCATCTTTTCATTTTCATTTTGACATGTTTTGATTTATTTATCGTCTTTATCGTCTTTTTGTTGTGGCTTTGGCATCCTATGGCATCCTATGGGTCGGGGTTGAAGGCGCAGACTTTCCAGTCTCAGTCGTGGCAACGCATCGAACGGCCACGGCCGCTGGAAAGAAGCGCGCGCCATGGTTTCCACGGCGTCCGTGGTTCACGTTCTGACCATACAAGGCCAGGTCATGAGAAAAGGAACTATGCAAGTTGTTCAAATCATTTGACAGATTTTGTCCAGATATTTCTTGCAAAGTTTCTTGTCGAATGTACAGACTTATTCCTTTCCTGACAGGTCTATAGCAGCGGCAGGAGTCATCCTGGTGGCGCTGCAGTCACGCAAGCGACAGCGAGGCTATGAGACATCAATATCACTGATGTCATTTTTTTACATGTGATGTTTGGCGATCCTAATCATGCGCGACTTGAAGTTTCAGCAAGCTCCAGTGACTCCAGTGTTCTTTTGACCGAGCGGGGGACAAGTGTACTGAAGGTCATAAAAACTTTGAATCTGTGCACACTTTTTGCAGTCAGAGATCTACAGAATCTACAGGACGGGTGTGCCGAAGGGGTCTGACTCCTTTGGCAGAGCGGCTGGGTCGCATGGCTGGTGTCATGCCAGGCACCCAGTTTTCAGGAGTGCATTTCAAACGATTCAAACCTTCAGTCATAACAAGTGTAGTCGCTGCAGGATTGAGTTTTGGACACTCTCAACAGGATAAACTCAGGCAAACCCCTGGTGTATTGCAACATATTTCAACTCATCTTGCTGAGAAGGCTTTCAACAGGTGTACGGACAGAGAGATTGTCAGGACTTTAGTCTGATGATGGGAAAATGCCCGGTCTGTTGAGGCCCAAACAGGATCCTGCACCAGCTCTACCTAGTTTGCCAGACATGCCCCACTTTGAGGAGAGCGATTGTCACTTAGATTTGGTTCTTTTGGTTCTTTCGCACACCAGAAGTGTCCCAGGATGTCCCAAGCCTTTTGTGCCACTGTGGCAGGCCCTGGGTCAGATGAAGTTGGCCGATTTGCAGCACATCCAGCACTGGTCTCAAGATGTGGCGTGGAAATGCGAAGAGACATGATTGCAATTGAGACCGTTTCAATAAATCAGACTCACACACTTTTTGCACCTTGCCTTTTACATCCTTTTACATCCTTTTACCGTCGAAGTATTTCCAGTTCTTTGGGCTTCACTCTTTACATGCTATGGCCGTTGTCGATATGAGGTCTGTCATTTTAGCATCTCCAGTCGTGCTACCTGCAGCTGTTGGAGTGTTTGTCGTGGCATTGCTGTCGCTACGCAGAGGGCGACAGCCATGGTTGGAGGCAGGTTTGTAGGTTTCCCCGAAGCAGAAACAAAGAACAAGCTCGTCAATTTGACCGTCCAACTATGTTTTAGCAGGTGCTTAACTTTTAGTTTTTGCAACGGGACAGACTGTCGGACAGACTATTGAACCTGTACAGCTTTGGGTCTGGGTTTCAGCAGGAGCTACCTTTGCGCTACGACGGTGCATGGATTGCAGCGTATTGGCAACGGCGACCTCTTCGTCTTCTGCAACGCTGCTTGATTGGATTGATTTGATTGACTGGATCCATTTTATTGATTTAGCACATCCTGTGATAGCCCCGAGAACGCAACCCAACACATCTAAGCTTCGAGTCTATTGTTGGTGAGACCTCCTGGCACCGGGTTTCTTGAATCTTCCCAATGTTCTGATATCATCTTTGGTTTGTGCTTGTCCTGTACTCATGGAGAGTTTGCACAGAGCCCACTGGCACTTGAGGCTTTGTGGAAGTGTCTATTCGAGCTGGTTCTTTCAGTGTGGCCATGGAAATCGACAAACTGCTCGGTCGGGAGGATGGGAAAACTTGAAAGGGTGATGGGTACTGTAATTCCTGAGAGAGAGAGAGAGAGAGCAAGGTTGAACACACTTGCGCTTTGACTTGGTACAAGTTTGTTGGGTTGCTGCCAGTTGACTTTCACACTTCAGAGAATCCACCTAGTCCAAAACTTACACTTGAACACTAAACTATCTAAGCTCAACCAAGTGATCATCATCTTTCGCCTGTCGGAATCAATTTGGAGCAGCAGCGATCGTTTCGCATGTTTGCACCCCAGTTTCTTGGTGTCGGCCCTACACCCCTTGTAGTTTGGATATCATTGTTTTGATTTTTGATATTTTTTGATCTATGTGTTCTACTCAGAATCTGCAACAGAATCAAACTCTCCTGTTTTGCAGATTTTTGCACAACGTTTTGCAATGTCGGTGTCGTCCAGGAGGCGATGTCCGCGCAGCGCGCGCGTGAAGCGAAGGAGCTCATCACAGACCTTGGCCCAGCCTTCGTGAAAATTGTGCAGGCGGAAGCACAGTTAAAATCGAAGTGTACAAATCTCTGCAATATTCTGCTATACTGTACACATCGAAGAAGCCACAAGAACCAGGGACTCATGGTATTCATGCAATACATTTGACATGGAAAATGCGCAGTGTGCTTATTCATGGAGGAATTTGTACCTTAGCTTCGACCTGCAGGTTTTTGCATCGCGGCCAGATGCGCTTCCCGAGGCTTACCAGAAGGAGGGGTCTGTTGAGATGATTTCATAAAGTCAGACCTAAATAGAACATTCTTAAGCCATCAACAAAGCTTCTCAATTCCATGTGCGTAACTCGAGTGAATGTGTTCTCCATCTTCGAATGATTTCCATAATTCTTTTTTTGAACACTTTTTCTGTACATTTCTGTAAAAAAAGAGTCCATATTTTCCGAAGAAAGTGAAACTTCAGGAGTTTGAAGGTCTCCTTGAGAGAGTTCGGCCTTTCAAAAAGGATGAAGCCGTTGCCTCGGCGAACACGACCGAAAAGGGAAAAAGAATCCGAAAAGGACATAAAAAGTACATAGAAAGGACGTAGAAAAAGAATCGGCTTGTTGGGACAACTTGATACAACTTGTTGATATGATTCTTTTCCAACTCTGTCGTAGATGATGTGGTAATATGTGGTATGTTTTGGTCATTTGATGTGGCTATGAATCTAGCTGAATCTAGCTGCAACATCCTTGAATGGGAATTGGATGATGTTTGTACATGCTGCAACGGGTGCATCTTAAATAATCTTAAATGCATCTAAATGCAACACACAACTGTACCATACTGTTCTAGGCACTTCGGTCTCAGGCAATGGACACCATGAGCCGAAATCTTGACGGAGATGAAGCTGTTCGAAGCCTCTTCGATGACATGTCCGTCTTTGATGAACCGGTGCACCATGGCTGTCGCTGTCCATGTTGCCCATGCTGTGTCCACGTTGTCCATGTTCAACCCATGCATGTTCATGTCGGCGTGACCGGAGAATCTTAAACATGAATTTCAATACAGCCTGAGCATGCCTGAGCTGTCTTTGTTTCAATGATTTCCAATAGCCAAAGTTAATTAAGACATTTCCAATAGCCCAAAGTTAAATAAGTTAATTAAGTTGCTTGTCATTGCTTGTCCAGGTGGCAGCTGCTTCTGTGGGCCAAGTCTATCGTGCCAAGATGAACGGTCGTGAGGTCAGACACGTCCCAACTTGTAGATCCCAACAGCCGGACAAAGAAATACGAACACATGTCAAACATCCAGAAAACGTGAATGCATATTTATATAAATATATATTGTAGAACCCCCGTTTGGCTTAAGACTGCTTTTACCGTTTTGGTGCAGGAGGGGGGGGGGTATTGGTGCACGGCTGGTGCGCGGAAAAGGAAAATAGGGGCAAGGGTGGGTCTGGGAAGGGAAAAATAGGTGCGGGAGTGGGTTCTTGCCAATCTATGGATCCAGTCAGGATCCCGTCGGGACCCAGTCGGGCACCAATTTTTGCATTTTTGGGCACCGCTTTTGGCCAGTCGGGATCCAGTCGGGATCCAGTCGGGATCCAGTCGGGATCCAGTCGGGATCCAGTCGGGCACCAATGTCGGGAGGCAGCCAAATTCATAAAAAATAGCTTTTTTGCAGTGTTTTTGCGTGTTTTTCGGTGATTTTGGCTGCTTCCCGACAGGTCCAAACGTGGTGCCAAAAATTCGAAAATTGGTGCCCGACTGGATCCCGACTGGATCCCGACTGGATCCCGACTGGCCAAAAGCGGTGCCCAAAAATACAAAAATTGGTGCCCGATTGGGTCCCGACTGGGTCCCGACTGGGTCCCGACTGGATCCCGACCCGGTTTCTTCAAAAAAACACCTATTTCCTTAAATTTGAGCACCTATTTTTGAAATTTTAGCACCTTGCCGTGCACCACCCCTTCCCTCCGTTTCCCCCTCCGGACCCCCCCCCCCACCAGTCTTAAGCCAAACACGGGCTTGGCAAGATATATATATATATTTTATTGTATCATATATATTTATAGATATAAAATATATTGGCTGATTGGATAGTACATTGGACATGTTGCCCAACATGTGCTGGATTGTGCTGCTCTTTTTTGGATGTCAGGTTGCTGTCAAGGTACAACGCCCTGACGTGCGAGAACAGGTCACTTTGGACCTTTTTGTTGTTCGGCAAATTGCCAGCATAGGCAGGGTATGGTGGGGTGACTTCCTTCGCCACAGCAGTGCTTGGTATTCGTGTGAGTTGTGTTGTTGTTTGGTATGGTTTTGCTTGGCTTTTCTGTGCAGAATTGAGAAGTTTCTTTCATGTCGCGGCCCTGAACAGATTTTGTGCATTCCTTGGAGGTTCATTTGTGCCAATTGAAAGGTATGCCCGTCAGCCGTTGACTAAGAGTTGCAGACGCAAGTCACAAGCCCTTTGCATTTGCCCTTTAGCATTTTTTAGTATCTTGAACCACCTTTTAGCTGGAATCCCTTATGACCGGTGAACAGTCGGTGAACGAGGTTCCGGAGCCTGTTTGATCTTGTAGATCGTGCAGCGCCTCCCTTCATTGAGGAGCTTGACTACGAGCCTCGAAATTACAAAGAAACACATTTGTGTCGAGTACATTGACAGAACAGGTGGACAAGTAGAACATGTTGTAGAATACATCAGAATACATAGATTTAGAATGATTTGGATGTTGTACTATACATATAGATACATATATATAGTAGAATAATCTAGTTAGAATACAGTCTGATACTGCAGTCTGATTTGGGTTCTCTGATTGGTTCCAAGGAATTTGAGGCGAGCAACCAGAAGGAGTTTGCCGAGCTGATTTCAAAGTGCGATTTGGCTGCTGGCTCAGATTGCCGAAACAAGAAGGAAACAGGAAGGAGAGTAGGGAAGAAGATTTTCGCATGGTGTGAATTGTGCGAATTGTGGTCTTGTGGGTCTTGTGGGTCTTGTGCCAATCTGTTGAGTTCGTGTGAATCTTTGGCGCTCCGTGGACGCAGGTTTCAGACACCGTGCAGGTGGGCCCTTTGCAAACCGAGCTTTAAAACACAGCCATCATGTCATGATACCGCAAGCCAAAGCTTCTGAGCAGCGAAATTTGAAGCCTTTTGCCATCTTTTGCCGGTTTTGACCATGTTCCATCATGTTCCATGTCCTTCCTGCTGTTCTGACTCACAATGTTGGCAAAACTTCAAAAACCTTAAGAGTTTTCTTCCTATCACTGGTCGTGACGGTGCTCGAGATTTTGACTTCAATTGAAACGAGAAAGGATTTTATACGTTCACTAGGTTTGCGGTATTTGAACATATTTGAACATGCAAATCAGAATGAAAACCCGTGCAGGTTCCTGAGGTGGTGCAAGCTTCCCGGGAGGTCCTTATTCAGGCCAAGCCGATGGTAGCCGTGGATTTTGTTCAATATGTCAAATGCCTCGGCATGCTCTAAGAACCCTAAGAACCCTAAGAACTCTAAGAACTCTAAGAACTCTAAGAACTCTAAGAACTCTAAGAACTCTAAGAACTCTAAGAACTCTAAGAACTCTAAGTGTTCAAGTCTTCTGCCCCTGCGAAATATATCGAAACATCAGAATATATCAGAATCTAATGAACTAAATGAACTGTGCAGTTTTGGCGCCCACCCCCTGTGTCCAGGTGAAGTAATTTAGGACAGGTTCACGGTTCAGCCATCGCCACCAGGAGTGGCTCCCTGGCAAAAAGCTTACAGAGCCTGGAGCTGCAAAGGATCAAGCTCAGCAGGTGGCCACAGCCTCAAATCTGAAACCATTTGACGCAGAACCATGCGGAACCATGCGGAACCCAATAACACTGTGAAAGTTTCAGAAGAAAAGCTTTGGACTCTCAATACTGCCAACCAAGCTCTTGAATTCAGGACAGTCACAGAGAACACCGAAGCGTATTTGCAATGCATTTGCAATGCATTTGCATCTTTCTGACATGAAATTGGTTTCTGGCTGAGGTGAAAGTCTTGTTGAACTCGTACATGGTCCAGCTGCTAGAAACGGGCTTTCTGCACGGGGAAGCTCCGCTCTGCAACTGGCAAGTTTTGTTTTGCCATTCCTGGCTTTAGGACCAGTGGTAAGAATGATGGATTGGGAGATTGAGGAGGACACACACAGAACTCAGATGAACTCAGAACCCTTCGTTTCTCACTTTCAAAACGCCTGGGCTCAGGATCCACATCCTGGGAATTTTGTTTTGATGCCGTCGGGTAAGATCGGACACTCGGCGGCAGAGGTCCTGGGCTGGTCTTGGTTTGCACAACATATAATATTCATAGAATGTGCAAAGTTGATCAAAGTTGATGGTGTAAAGCGTTGCAGTTTCTGAGGAATCTTGGACTATGGCCTGATGACCCGCATCTCTGAAGACAAGCGGGTGGCACTTATTCAATATCTTATGCATGTTTGCTCCTCAGAGGCACGGCCGTCGACTGGAAGAATTATACATTTGCAGCATTTGGATGCAATAGGCAGCGGTGTAACTTCCTTTGGATGGGAGGCTTTAGGCTCATAACTCATGACCAGTTTGTATGAGGTCCAAGCAAACATGTATGACGAGCCAGGAGCCAAAGCTATCACAGGATGTCTTTCTTCGAGCTCTTTCGTCGTCTCCGTTTCGACTCTGCCTAGGTGCCTTCAAGACCTGGTGACGTTAGAGTTTCTACCCGATGGCATTGCCTCTGACAAGGAGATGCCACTCAGAAGACAGAAGACCTTTGACCAAGACCTGAGACTTCTGTTTGCGAGAATTTGCACATTTTCACACAAGCTGCGACTGTGCCGAGGAGGCCCGAGAAGTCATCGTTCCAAGACTGGTGGCTAGCTCAGCCCTGGCGCTGACATGAATTTTCAAATCAGCCTTTCTGGCCTGTTGGAATGAAGTAAAACATGGTATCTAGAAAGCCTATCTTGATTATCTTGCATACATTCTTATCATTTCTTATCATTCTTACTTCTAACTATGCCCCTCCTGGAGCCAACTATTTTTAAACCCTTGGATGACCATCCACAATTGACAAATATTGACACCCTGCTTCGGAGCCTTTTTTATATGACCTGGGAGCCGACTCAGAGCACCTTGGGAGCGAATAAAAAGGTCAATTGGTCAATAGCAATTTGCATAATTTGCAAAAATTGCCTCGGCGAACTTGTCTTGCGAGGCCGAGACCTTGAACATCCTGTTTGAGCAGAGCGACCTGCGTGTGCAACGCGAAAAGTTCATCAAGCAGAGGGAGGCCATGACAAGTCATGACAAGTCATGAGACATCTGCCTTTGTCGGAATTGGACGTATTTTAAGATGACATGTTTTGCAAGCTTGATATGATTCAGGATTTCAATGTCAATTCTATCACATTCTATCACTGTCTTTGGTCTTGACAAGGAGCTGGAAGCCTCTGGAAAACTAGAAATCTTGCAGCAGGACCGATGCTTCATGTGAAAGAGACATCGGTGTGGCGCGCTTGTAGCTCGTTCTTGCTTGTCGGCTCAGCAGGAGTTACAAGGAATTGCAAAGAAATATGGCAGCTTTCAACTGCCAGGCGGGCGAACAGCAACCAGCTGCAAAGAGCTGGAAGCCAAAGATTTGGATGTGAAGCCAAAGCTGTCATGTCATGTGATGTGCCACTGCAGGCTATGCGACCTTGATCATTCGGGCCTTGGCGACCTTGGAAGGAGTTGGTCTGAAAGCAAGTTCCAACTTCTCACTGAAGTTCCTCGGCAAAGTACCAAACACATCCAAACACCGAGAATGCTGAACCACTTGGTCATTTGACTACAAACTCCACACAGCGGCCTAAAGCTTTGGTACCCTTTAGGGTTCGCGCGCGCCGTAGCCACCTTGTACACACAATATATAAACAGTATACAAAAAAAAGCTAAACAATTGGTCACTTTGTTTTGGGTTCGATTTTTTTCCAAGAAATTGCGCCAAAACCATGGTGCTTCAAACATTACATGAAACAGCGCTCGCACTACAAATGTGTGACCCATTTGGTTTCGGGTAAATACATGCATAATGCTGCATAACTCTAGACACGCACGCGCACGTATGTATATGTGCTGTGATATATATATATATATACATATAATATTTAAATATCTAAATATAAAAACACATAAATATAAATGTGTAAATATATATTATATATAAGTATATTTTTAGTAGAGATAGTTTGCATCAATGAATCGCGGGCAGCTCCAGGTGTATTTCGCTCTGCCGCTGAGGTCTGAGACCTTTCCTTACATTGCCCGACGGCTGTTGACCGACGACAGCCTTCGCATTCGCGAGGTGCAAAAATATAGAGCCACGACGCAAACAACAAACAACAAACGTGGACTTCCATGTTTTTTTCCGCCTCCAACAGGCTCATGTTTTCATAAGTTTTGGTATTCAAAAACAATCAGCCCAAACAATTCAAAACACTTCAAAACAGTTTTCCAAACATTAGAATCTAAGAAAACATATTTCAATGATTCTGGAACTGTTTGAGGCATTGAGGGCATACCTCTACAAAGGCCGCAGTCGAATTGCCCCTGATCGGCTTGAAAGTCTGTCTCAAGGCGTGTGACAACGTTTTTTTTTTTAACGGAATTGTCCTGTCTCGTGGTGCAGCAGAGTCAGTACTTTTTGGGTGGGTTTGGTCCATTCTCTGCTTACTAGGCTTCCGAACTTTTACGAATTTGATGTGACTTGGCTGTGGATGACTGAAACTGTAACTGAGACCTGAAACAACGCATGAAACAAAAACATTTTGGAACATCGACCTTTTTTCATGTTTGCTTCGCTAGCGCCTTGCCGAGGAAAGGCGATCGTGTTGAGGCCGCAGCAGCTGGTGCTCCCACGCCAGAAACTGTTGAGGCTACAAACAACACGAACAGGAACGAAGCGAGACAAAGTGGTGAAAATTTGGACTTGGCGACGTGTGCCCGGCAAAGTTAAACAAACATGTCAGAGATCTCCAGTGGCTTAATGAAGATCAAATGTTGTTCTCGACCAAATCACACTGGTTGCAAAGTCATTGGCTGCTTTCAAAGATTCGGATGCAGATGCAAGGAGTGCCAAATCTGGGAAGATTTGTAAACCTGTGGACTTTGACAGATTATGGCCGCTACACTGCTGGCCAGGAAAGATATTGCTGCTGTACTCTTCTCCCCAGTCTCATGGCTGCAACATGGGTTGATGGAGTAGTTGATGGGACGTAGTCAGACATGGGCTACAGGTTTCTGTCACTGTTTAGATTTCAACAAAGATGTGGCGACCAGCCTCTGACCAATCTTGGACTCAGAAGTCCAAAAAATTAATTCAACACCATCAGCATGCCTACACAAGACGAGTAGGTGTGTGAGAGAAACATGTGCGGTAGGAGGATTTAATCCAGCTTCAATTGTTTCAGTTTCACATTTGTTTCACATTCAGGATGGGAATTTCCTTCAAGATCTTCTAATCGATGAAGGAGTGGCTGCTGTGGATGCGCTGTCTCGGGCTGCTGTGCTTCGGCACATGGTGACAGTACAACAGTACAACCAATACATTTTCCAAGGATTTGCATCGACATGCTCCCCCCAAACCGCAAAGCCAGACCTTTCCTCGATGTCGTTATTTGGAATGATTGGGGATGATCCTTGATGATTCTTGGCTTGGGATATTCCAGATATAGAAGTAGAATGAAGTAGATGCTTTCAGAATCTGGAAACACGTGTGAACACCATGTGAGAACATGTGAACACCGTGTGAAACACATGGTTTGTTCATGTTTATTTGGTTTGAGATGTTTGAGGTGCTCCAGTCACTCAGAGCCCTGAATCCTCTGGGTCCTTTGGCCGTTCCCGTGGCGGCTCCTTTGTGCGCACCTTACGCCCTTGGAGCACATTGAAAACGAAATCGGGAAATGACATGAAATGACATGAAAGGACATGAAATAAAGATGAAGAAAAGCCCTTCATCTTCGAACAAACACAAGGGGGTGTTTATATAGTTTGGATGTTCACTTTGTTGACAAAGATCAAACATGGAGATAATGACATGGTTTTTAGCTTCTGAAGCCACAGACCATTGTAGGAGGTTCCCAGCTAGAGTGAGTCAAGCGACGGGCATCCATAAAGAAGTCTGATCAAGCGAAACCAGTCCTTTCAAGTCCTTTTCCCAGGCGGTTTCCTTGCCTGATTTCACAATATTTCACACAAACACACACTGACTGCAGGCGCTTGCTTCTGGGTGATCGCTTGGAAGAGAGGCTACTCAACAGAGAGGCACAGCCTGCAGCCATCCTGATGGTTAATCGATCGCTGTGCACGGTTCTACTAAGCAGTCTTTTGGGATTAGCAACAAACTGAACCATTCAACAGGGATTAGCAACAAACTGAACCATTCAACAGTAACTATCGGAAATTGCGCAGTTGTAGCTTTTAGCACCGCTGTAACATGCAAGGCAAAGGTCAAGAGCGCTAGACTTTTGGGTTGCCAGACTTGGGGACCCCAAATCACTCAAAACCATGCTGCAGATATCTCCAGATCAATTGTGCTGTTTGGGTTGGGACCATTCTCCCTGCTTTTTTTTTTTCCCCGTGACTCTGTGACTCCACTTGGAGGGTCATGCTGACGCTCAGGACAAGCAGGCTCTCTTGGTCATTCGCAAGATCGTTCAAATCATTCAGGCACCTGTGGTGCTGAGCTGTGTCAGAGCCGTGCTGGAAGGCTTGAAACACTCTTGTGATTCCTGTGGATGTGCACCGTTTCCCTTTCGAGCGGTGAACGGTTAATGGGCTCAGTCGCTGAAGATCTTCGTAACTCTGAAGCTGGAGCTGCGCTGCAAATCGTTGAATTGCTGTTGCATGCTGTCGCCATGTGTAGCCTGATCTCGTTGCAAGTCGCAGGCCGGACAGCCCATCTCGACCAGTGGATCCTTGCAGGACCGAACTTTCCGGAGAGTCATAGGCTGAAGCGAAAGAAGTGAAAGTTAAAGTATGGGCAGCCTGGGGGCTGAGCAGGCAGCAACAGGAAATGGCAACAGAAACACTCAGACCGCCATATATCTCCCATATATATATATACACATACTGTGGTGTTTTTATCATAGGTGAATAGTTGTTATAGGGTTATACATAATATATATATACTATATAATGGTATGTATGTATGTATGTATGTACGTAGGTATGTAAGTAGGTAGGTAGGTAGGTATGTAGGTATGTATGTATGTATATACACCACCACAGGGGCATCATACCCCCCCCCATCCCATGGGGGGGGGTGGGAACACGGGACACGGGACCATATATATATACTTTAAACCCCACAACGCTTCCACTCAACCATCACAGCAGCAACAGCCGGCTGCTGCTGCTGCTGCTGGCTGCTGCTACACCTTTGAAGAGATGGAGGAGATGCAGGCCTCAGCAAACGTTCCAATTAATTCGTAATATATATATATCAGGTTTATCATTTAAATGGGATATACAAGATTGGTGAGAAATATAATCATAATATATTTGAAATATATATACCAAATTTATCATATTTAGATTGGTGGTAAAATATACATCGTATATTTGAGATATATACCAAATTTATCATATTTAGATTAGTAGTAAAATATATTCATTCATATATATATATAAGATATATACCAGATTTATCATATGTTCGATATATATATGTAACCGAAATTGGTGGTAAAATATATTCATCATATACTTGAGATATAAATGAGATTTACTATATTTTTGGGATATATACCGGATTGGTGGTAAAATATATTAATCATATATTTGAGATATAAACTAGATTTATCATATGTTTAAGATATACCGAATATTGTTTGTATCCCTGATTGGTGGTTTGTATCCCTGATATCATTTTAAAGGGATGATCAAGGGCCCTTAGATTGATCACTACTGGCAGTAAATTGGAATTTCAATGAATTTCCTTCAAAAATGAAGATAATCATGGTTCCTTTGAGCGCTCACTACCGGTAGTGAATTGGGATGTTCGTCAAGAATTGGGATGATCGGGGTTCCTTATAACATTCACTACCAATAGTGAATGGGAAATTCTTTCAAATATTGGGATGATCGGTGTTCCTTAGAACGCTCGCTACCGGTAGTGAATGGGTAATTCTGTCAAAAATTGGGATGATTTTGGGGCCCTTATAGGACGCTCGCTACCGGTAGTGAATGGGTAATTCTGTCAAAAATTGGGATGATTGGGGGGCCCTTAGAACGCTCGCTACCGGTAAATGGGGAATTCTTTCAAAAATTGGGACGATTGGGGTTCCTTAGAACGCTCGCTACCGGTAGTGAATGGGGAATTCTGTCAAGAATTGGGATGATGAGGAGCAATTTGAACGCTCGCTACCGGTAGTGAATTGGGATTTCAATGAATTTCTTCAAACATATTGGGATGATTGGGGTTCCTTAGAACGCTCGCTACCGGTAGTGAATGGGTAATTCTGTCAAAAATTGGGATGATTGGGGCCCTTAGAACGCTCGCTACCGGTAGTGAATTGGGATTTCAATGGATTTCTTCAAAAATTGGGATGGTTGGGGTTCCTTAGAACGCTCGCTACCGGTAGTGAATGGGGAATTCTGTCAAGAATTGGGATGATGGCCCTTAGAACGCTCGCTACCGGTAGTGAATGGGGAATTTTGTCAAGAATTGGGATGATGGGGAGCCCTTAGAACGCTCGCTACCGGTAGTGAATTTGGATTTCAATGGATTTTTTCAAAAATATTGGGATGATTGGGGTTCCTTAGAACGCTCGCTACCGGTAGTGAATGTGGAATTCTGTCAAAAATTGGAATGATGTGGGGTCCTTAGAATGCTCGCTACCGGTAGTGAATTGGGATTTCAATGGATTTTTTCAAGAATTGGGATGATCGGGGTTCCTTAGAACGCTCGCTACCGGTAGTGAATTGGGATTTGAGTGGATTTTTTCAAAAATTGGGATGATCGGGGTTCCTTAGAACGCTCGCTACCGGTAGTGAATTGGGATTTGAATTGATTTTTTCTAAAATTGGGATGATCGGGGGCCCTTAGAACGCTCGCTACCGGTAGTGAATGTTCTAAGAGGGAGCGACGGTCGCTCCCTGTTAGAACGCTCCCTAAGATAGATAGTGTTCTAACAGGGTGCGACGGTCGCTCCCTGTTAGAACGCTCGCTACCGGTAGTGAGTGTTCTAAGGGGGGGTTGGCAAACATCGGACCAGGGATGATCTTGTGTTTTCGCTGGGGTCTTAGTGAGAAGAACGAAAGATTGAGGGTGCTCCAGCGACAGGAAACCTCCCTTAGAACGCTGGCTACCGGTAGTGAGGGAGCGACGGTCGCTCCCTGCTAGAACGCTATCTATCTTAAAAGCAGCAATTATACATATGGATGATTGGGGGGCCCTTAGAACGCTCGCTACCGGTAGTGAATGGGGAATTCTTTCAAAAATTGGGACGATTGGGGTTCCTTAGAACGCTCGCTACCGGTAGTAAATAGGAAATTCTTTCAAAAATTGGGACGATTGGGGTTCCTTAGAACGCTCGCTACCGGTAGTGACTTGGGATTTCAATGGGTTTCTTCAAAAATTCGGACGATTGGGGTTCCTTAGAACGCTCGCTACCGGTAGTGAATGGGTAATTCTGTCAAAAATTGGGATGATTTTGGGGCCCTTATAGAACGCTCGCTACCGGTAGTGACTTGGGATTTCAATGGATTTCTTCAAAAATTGGGATGATTGGGGGGCCCTTAGAACGCTCGCTACCGGTAGTGAATGGGGAATTCTTTCAAAAATTGGGACGATTGGGGTTCCTTAGAACGTTCGCTACCGGTAGTGAATGGGGAATTCTGTCAAGAATTGGGATGATGGGGAGCCCTTAGAATGCTCGCTACCGGTAGTGAATTGGGATTTCATTGGATTTCTTCAAAAATTAGGACGATTGGGGTTCCTTAGAACGCTCGCTACCGGTAGTGAATGTGGAATTCTGTCAAGAATTGGGATGATGGGGGGCCCTTAGAACCCTCTCTACCGGTAGCGATGTTCTAAGAGGTTGCGACGGTCGCTCCCTGTTATAATGCTTCCTATATTCGGTAGCGAGCGTTCTAAGGAACACCGATCATCCCAATATTTGAAAGAATTTCCCATTCACTATTGGTAGTGAATGTTATAAGGAACCCCGATCATCCCAATTCTTGAAGAACATCCCAATTCACTACCGGTAGTGAGCGCTCAAAGGAACCATGATTATCTTCATTTTTGAAGGAAATTCATTGAAATTCCAATTTACTGCCAGTAGTAATCAATCTAAGGGCCCTTAATCATCCCTTTAAAATGATATCAGGGATACAAACCACCAATCAGGGATACAAACAATATTCGGTATATCTTAAACATATGATAAATCTAGTTTATATCTCAAATATATAATTAATATATTTTACCACCAATCTGGTATATATCCCAAAAATATAGTAAATCTAATTTATATCTCACATATATGATAAATATATTTTACCACCAATTTCGGTTATACATATATTCGAACATATAATAAATCTGGTATATATCTTATATATATAAATGAATATATTTTACCACCAATCTAAATATAATAAATCTGGTATATATCTCAAATATATAATGTATATTTTACCACCAATCTAAATATAATAAATCTGGTATATACATCTCAAATATATTATAATTATATTTCCCACCAATCTTGTATATCCCATTTAAATGATAAACCTGATATATATATATATATCACGAATTAATTGGAACGTTTGCTGAGGCCTGCATCTCCTCCATCTCTTCAAAGGTGTAGCAGCAGCCAGCAGCAGCCAGCAGCAGCCGGCTGTTGCTGCTGTGATGGCTGAGTGGAAGCGTTGTGGG